CATACACACACACACACACGCACCATATTTTTTTGGATCGTTGTTTTTCCAAAGGAAGACATCTGCAGAACACCACCACTAGCCCTGAACTGCAGGGAGCACCCACCCTGTCCTCAGCTCTCCTGTGCCCACCCTGGCATCTCTCCACCAGGTTTTCCCCTCATCCATGGGAGCCTGAGCCGGGTTTCTCACTGTGCTCTGCACACCGACAGAGCCCAGATTTCAGCTGTAGGTCACAAAGGCAGGCAAGGGAGAGGGCACGGACGTCACTGTGGAGCCCCAGGGGGCCAAGACCAACCCTCAGGAAGCTGTCCTGGTCCCATTGTCCTCACCTGCACCAGCATGGTGTGTTGCCCCATGTGGCCTGCTGGTTCCCCAACCCCGAAGCTACCTGGCCTTGCTCTTGGGTGAGCAGCAGCCTCTGGGGGCACCCGCAGCTGGGCTCCAGCACCTCCCCAGCTGCAGCCTCATGTCTCCCATGAAGGGGAAGCGGAGGTGCGGAGCTGGGGTGGGGCTCAGTGAGTTCCCTCACTGGATTATGGGTGACGTGGAGTAGTGGACCGCTGCTGGACCCTGCTGACCCCTGCCATTCTCCACTCATCCCCGCAGTGGCCAGAGCTGGGCCATAATCCCCCTCGGTCTCCAAGGACCCACTGCTTCCTCCCCATCAGCTCCCTGGGTCCCTCCATAGAGCCCACCTTTGCCCGGCCCTCAGGCCTGCAGCCCTGCAGCACCCAAGCATGTTAGAGACCCAGAATGGCGTCCAGCCAGAGTCTGGGGCCCTCGAGTGCATGGCCACCTCGAGAAGGTGCCTAAGCACAGTTCTGAGGCTGCTGCAAGTCTGTTCCATGTCAGGGTGAAGGGGTTTGGCTGACCTGAGAGCACAGAGGTGACCCTGACACCTTCTCTTCACAGCAGAAAGTCCACAGCGGGTGAGGCAGCAGGCAGAGGGATGGAGACACGTTGGGCTCGACCCCCCTGGGGCTCCTCCTGCCACACAGAGGGCAGGGTGGCCTGGCCAAGGACTTGCAGGGCTATGTCCTGCAACCACTGGAGCTCCTCCTCGGCCACCTGGATGAGCCAGGTGGGACCACAGGCTGGTGACCCCTCCATTCCCAAGTGGAGACCCAGCCATGCTGCACTGGACTCGATTGGAGCCCAGGTAGGAGCTGAGAAATGGCTGGGGCTCAGTCCTGGCTCCTGGGCTTTCATGAAAATTGCATGTGATATGAAAGCTGCCATTGGCCACTCTGAAGGGTTCAGCTTGGAGCACTGCACGACCGCGTACCCAGCACTCTGCCTAGCTCCTGACCAGAGACCCATGCACAGTCGGCCTCAGTCCCCCCGGGCTGGAAAGCACCCACTGCTTCTGCCCCTGTAGCCACCTGCCTTGGATATTCCACAGGCATGGAAGGTGCAGGGTCTGTGCAGCATTCCCATGGCTGCCCACACAGCATGTGCCACGGCACCATGCCTTTCCATGGCCAGCTATTGTCTTGTCCTGCGGACTACTGTCCCTCCAGGCACCATCAGTGGCCATGAGCACTGACCTCCACCCCGCTGCTGTGACATGTGTGTGTGTGGTCTTTGTTTTCGTGGCCCTAGCAGGCAGCCATCCCTACGAGTGGACTTGCCTGGTCCACAGAGGCCCTTCAGCTTTCAGAGGAGCAGCCAGACTATGTCCACGGTGGCCTCAGCACTAAAGAGAAAACCGACTTGGGCTCTGGCCAGGGCTGGGGAGGCAGCTGGGCACAGCCCCTCCTCCCCTGCCCATAGGCCCTCACACAGCCCCAGGCCACACCCCAGCAGTGGTCTGCCTAGGGACACTGGGGGACCACATGTACAGTGGTGCAGCTCTTTGCCCAGCTGAGACGGTGTGAGCCAGACAGGGGTGTGCAATGTCCCCTGGGGGTGTTTAGGAGGGCCTTAGCTGGGATGACCACAGAAGGCACGCAGGATGAGACCTGTGAGCGGTGCCCAAATGCAGGTCCCTGGGGCCATGAAGCTGACCTTGCCCAGAGGAGACCTTCCTGTGGCAGGGTGGTCCTGTGCCCAGCTGTGAGCTCGCAGAGAGAGGGCCCCAGACATTCCAAAGGGGCCACCCAGGGACCCCAGGAGGCAGGAGGCAGCTGCTTGGGTGAGGCCTGGTCAGGAGCAGCAGCAGCTCCCACCCTCGAGACTCGGCTTCCTCCTGGCAAGTCCCTCAGTGTTGACTTTCTCTGAGCCAGGGAAACCCCAGGCTAGCTCAGGATTCGCTTTCAGGGCCCTTTCACACCACCTGCGGCAAGAGGAAGTGAGTGTGGCCATCCCCAGACCCGGCCCAGGCATCCAGCAGGGCAGAAGAAGGATTACCCTGCTCCCAACCGACAGCTCCGCCTCCCTGCAGTCCAGCAGCTCCGCCTCCCCGACAGTCCTGGCCTCAGTCCCAGGGAACTATTGTCCTCCCAGCCCAGTCCTATCCTCCAGGCAGCAGACAGGGCCAGACAGAAACCCCAGGGTAGTGAGGGGGGCCCAGCCCTCCTGCCCTTGGCACCTTCTTGCCTCTGGCCTGCAGCCTGTGCATGCCTGATGGTGCACACACTGGCACATACGTGGGCACACGCACAGCAGGCTCAGTGGGGACAGGGCCGGCAGTGGGCTGAGTGTTGCAGGACAGGACACCAGGAGCAGGCCACTACCCCATGTCCCCAAGCCAAGGCTCCACCCCCCCCCCCAAGAGAGGCTCCTGGGAACACCACAACCATGTCAGCCAGCCTCAGCTCCTCAGCTGTCACACAGCCTGGCCTTGGCTCCTGCCTGACTCAGGTTCCACACCCTGTGGCAGTGCCCTGACTTGGTGCGGGCCTGGAGAGGACCCAAAGGAGGCCATCCCGACGGGCTGTTGTCTGGGCTCACATCGGGGCAGGCGGATGGCCCAGGCACTGCCCCACCTGGGCCAACCCCAGGCCCACTCCCTCCTACAGCCACAGCGGAACTCCAGGGCACAGAGTCACCATCCTCTCAGGCTGGGAAAAAGGCAGCACACTGAAGGACTGGCCTGGGGTGGGAGACAGAGTGGTGGTCCAGCAGCCTGGTCTCTGGGGTCAGAGGCCCCACCTAAGTCCTTGTTGTAGTCAGAGGTTGTGAGGAGAACAATTACAATCAGGACACAGAATTTATAACATTATTTCATGATGGTCACCCAGCGTTAAACACAAGAAAGTGTAGGAAATCTATCTACAACACTAAAGACCAGAATATTCAGCCAAAGGCCTGGATCCCCCAGCAATGTCCTGCCTGAGTCCAGATGAAGACCTAGAGCCCATGACAATGCCTCCCACGAGGCCAACTGGAGGTGTAGAGCCCTCGAGAAGGACTCACGCCAGTCTGTTTTATGGGAAGGCCCAGAGGTCAGTGGGGGAAGCCAGGAAGTCCATGCCAGTGGGTGAAGGAGCTGTCAGTAGGTTCTACACTGGGGCCGAGAAGTCACCCTCAGAATAAGGACCTGGGCTGCCCTGCAAAGCACCACAGCCATCCTCAGCAATACAAAGGCCCCGAGCTCCTCCACCAGTCGAGTACATGCCAGCAAGCCAGCATGACAAGCTTCTCCTGGAGATTAAACAGCACACATCTTCCTCTCCAGAGCCAGGAAGCGATGCTCGATGTAAGGACCAGAGCTCCCCCAAAATGAACCACAGCCACTCTCACCAACAAGGTCCCGGGCTCTCTAATGACAATGGTGGAACTCACCCTGGGGAAGCTAGTCATGACAAGCTCCTCCAGGAGAACCAACAGCTCAAACACCAACACTTAGAGAAACCCACAGCACTTCCCTCGTCTTCTCCATGTCTCTCTTTATGCTGGCAGCTTTCCTCAGCTGGGCCATCTACGCTCAGCACCATGCTGATTTAATTCAGCTGGTGTTAAGGTGACCACAAGTGTTTAATCCGTAACAGTCCTGCTCCTCCTCCCTCCCCACCCTGCTCCCTGGCCCAAGGCCCTGCCACCCCATGCAGGCTCGAGAGCCCTTCCCAGCGCCCGGGTAGTCCCTAACTCTGGTTCCCAGCACACTGCGTCCAGCCAGAGGCCAAGGGCCCCTCTCACCCACTGGGGCTCACCTTTGCTTCCTGCCCCACAACCCAGGACTGAGCACCTGTGCTATTGTCCGGGTTTCTCCAGCTCACAGACCGCTCGGCGTGAGGCTGTGACTTCAGGCTGCAAAGCAGGGTGCTGAGTGACCGTCTGCTTCCGAGCGCAGATTTACTGTGAGAGACCTGGGTGCTGGGGCAGGGGTAACACCGGCCAGTGTGGTTGGGCCAGCCAGCTCCCCCAGCCAGGGGGAAACTGAGGCCCATGCAGGGAGTCAGGGAGGCTGAGGCCTTGCCACCCTTAGCTGAGTTGTATCCGCAGGGCCTGATAGAGGTCAGGCTGCTGCCTGAGAAACTGACACACAGTGTTTGGTGGCCTCACAGGTGAACCCATGGCCTGCAAGGGAATCCCTGTGCTCTGAGCGCTGACACTTGAAGTCTGCTGTGGGACAGGATGCCCAGTGACCTGCAGAAGTTAAACCTAAGCTCATCGTAGCAAAAACAGGCAGATGCTCAGTTCTCATGGGCACCCACAGGAGCCACCAGGCAGGCGTCACAGCCCATGACCCAGGCCCTGTGACCCACCTCAGCACGAAGAGATGCGGCAGGCTGCACACAGGAATGTAGAGCCTCCTGGCCCAACAGAAACATGCATGGGTGAGCTGCCAGCCGGACTCCGGCATCAGGGAGCCATCGCGGTGACCAGTAGTGCTTTTTTTTTTTTTTTTTTTTTTTTTTTTTTTTTTGGTGGAACAGGAATTGATCCCAGGGCCTTCTCACTGAGCTACAAACCCAGCCCTTTTTGACACAAGGTCTCACTAAATCACTGGGTTTCCTAGGCTGGGCTTTTCCCAGGCTGGGCTTCAACTTGTGATCCTCCTGCCTCAGCCTCCCAGAATGCTAGAATTACAGGCAGGAACCACCATGCTCAGCTCCATAAATGATTTTTTTTTTATTTAAAGAAAAGGAAACAAAAAAAATACATGGAGATAAAAAAAAGGGTAGAAATAATACAAAATTACAGAAAAATAAACGGTAAGAAATCGCTGGTTGATAAGTTACATATTGTCATCTTAGAAATAGCTGTTTAGGTTACAAAATTAAAGTATTTAAAATGACATTCAAAAAGTGACACTGCAAACAGTTCTGCTCAATGATCGAACAAAAACTCAGTAATATGGTTATTGGTCCCACACACTTGTTTTACATTTCAAAGACGGTAAGATTAAACATTTCAAAACAGAACAAAACAGTTTAAAAAACAATTTAAAGAAATACAGATTTCAAAGCAAGTCCACTGGAGATCTTCACTGTCTATCTAACTGTCTCTAGTTTCTTACAAATAGTTGTCCCCAACTTCACCCACATTATATACATATTGCATATTATAGAACTAATCAAATCATTACAGGATGATGAAGGCTTTTTAAGTCTTCAAGATCTAACATTGAGGAAGACAATAATAACTACCATTGCATCTCTCATTCTCTTCGTGGTAGCCGTCCCCATCTCTACATATGCTGAAATTAAACTCAAGAAACCAGCCCAATGTCATTCTAATCAGCGAACAATAGTATTGCTAGAATTTATATCATAATGCTACAAAATTAGCATTGGGTTTCTTAGCGTCTCTTCTTCAGAGTATCTGTTCATTACATCTTGCATTATATAATCTGTTCCCGAAAATAATTTTTTAAAAAAATCTCATGTGTGATTTCTACATATATATCTATCCTCTCTGTATTATAGGGAAAAACAAATCGTAACAAGACAGCAAAACAAATTCCTAGAAAAACACGCAATGGATAAGACATATAAGACTACAATATAGGTGATCTTCCATAATTACTATGTTTTCTCTTGTTTTCAATAGATTTGTCCACATCATCAGCTTAATATAGTTAAACATAGTATTACCTATTTTTATAAAAACACAATTTGAAAGCATTGTAGGATTTGAGAGCTGTTAATAATTAATACCAGTATGGATATCCTTTACATCTTGTCATCTTCAGAGTAGTTGCCTCTACTTTTAGGGTTGATACTAACAAGCATACCAAATTCAAATAAAATCAGCCAAGGCAAATCCGTGGTCTTATGAATCAGATTCAATTAAGATCAGTCATAGTAAGACAATGTAAGTAATACAAGATTTCAGTTTAAGTTAATAGGAAAGTAAGGATAGTTACCATGGAATAACCTGCTATTTTTGGGTCAGATGTCTGTGCCCTCAAATCTGACATGGGTGGACACACCAGAACAAATTAAATTCAAACTAAATATGACGATAAGAATACTGTGTCTTTTAAATCCTGATACACTATTAACAATGAACTCTGCCTTTTTTTATAGTGTTTCAGAGCTGTCTGTAAAGACTATAGCTTACCGTCTCTGCCTCATGTCTGCTACTCCACTTTTCTGCTATAATTTGTCCACCTTATTCCCTCATTCCATTGTCTGCCCCATTCATTGAGGCCTCTCTGCCACTGTTGCTGGAATCCTGGTATCCCTTCCTCTCTTTCTCTGGAATGTCCTTCAGCACTCTCTGTAGGGTTGGATTGGTGGCCACGAACATCCACAGTTCCTCCTTGTCTTGGAAGCATCTTATTTCTCCATTAATTTTGAGAGAGAGTTTTGACGGGTATATGAGCTTCGGTTGCATATTATTTTCTTTCAGGACTTGGAATATTTCTCCCCACTCCCTTCTTGACTTAAGAGTTTGTGTTGATAAGTCTGTTGTTATTTTGATAATTTTCCCATTGTAGGTAATCTGCTTTTTTTCTCTGGCTGCTTTTAATATTCTGTTCTTTTGGTGGATTTCTAGAATCTTGATTATTATATGTCTAGTTGTAGATCTGTTTTGGTTGTAGGTAGCTGGTGTTCTGTATGCCTCTTTTATCTGTATATCATTTCTTTTTGCTATACATGGGAAATTTTGTTTTAATATACCTGTGAATATTCTTTGTATTTCATTTTTGGTTGCTCCTGCTTCCTCACTCACATTCTTTATTCTCAAGTTATGTATCCTTTTGTCATCTTCTAGCCTTCGAATGGTTTCTTTCTGGTTCCTTGTTATTTTTAAGAGGTTTTTTTCTTTCATGATCATATGTCATAAATCTCTCTTCAAGTTTCAGAAGGCTGGCTTTAGTTTCTGTCAGGGCATTTTGCCAGTGTTCAATGGAGTTTTTAGTTCCCTGGTAATCTCTTTGGATCTGTTTCATGTATTCTAAGTTATGTTTAAATTCTTCTTCAGAAGTTTCTCTTTCTTTTCTGATTTCCTCAGTTCTTCCATCTGTGTTCTCTTGGGCGGGGCTTGTCATTTCTTTAATTAATCTCATTATATCTTGCCTCACTTGGATCAGGAGTACAGCTTTAAATTCATCTATGAGGTCATGGAGGTATTTTTAAATTTCGGCTGATGCTGTGTCCAGTATTGGATGTTTACTGTGCTTGTTCTCTTCAGTGTTTACTTCTCCTGGGCTTATTTTCTCATGGTGGGCAGCTGGAGATTTTTTTTTTTTTTTTTTTTATCTCTTGTCATGTTTCTGGTTTCTTTCAGACTGGTGTGTCCTGGGGGTCTCTGGCCCTCTTTGTATTGCTTAGGGCCTTTCAGAAGCGTGCTGACTTGAGTTTTTGCTGTCTTCCCCAATTTGCTGTTATCTGGGGTAGGCAGGGATGCAGGGATGGTGCAGGCTAGCCTCCAGCCTCTGTGCCAGTCAACCTGCAAATTAGGCTGTACTTTCTGGATGTCACAGAGTTGTGACTATTTTGTATCTGCTTATTGGGCCCCAAGCAGAGGCTTGGTTCAGCCCCAGCAGATCCTGCCAGTTCTCTCTGTGCCAGAAGCAGCTGACTAATGTTACCGTGGCACAGGGTTCCGCCCCAATCCCAGTGGTTCTCTTCCAGACCTCTCTGTGCCAGGAGCACCAGGACAGTGGGTCTGCCCAATTTCAAGATGTCCTCCACCAGACCTCTCTACACCAGGGGCGACTTGGTGATGTCACCGAGCTGCAGGTTCCGCCCAACTCTAAGATGTCTTCCGCCAGACTCTCTGTGTTATTGATGTCACAGTGGTGGCGGGCTCTGCCCTATTCCAAAATGTTCTCTGGCCAACCACAGCAGCCCTGGGACCCAGTCCCTAGTACTCACCAGGGCTCAGTGCAGGTCTTCCTCTTGAGTCTACTGCACACTACGCTGCTTGCCTTCACTACGTTCCCAGCACAGCACGGAATGGTCAGAAAACTGCACAGCATTCGGCTTCGAAGCTCCAGAACGTTTCACAATCTCCTCTGGTGCAGCGGGGCAGTCCTGGCTGCTTCACAGGGTCTCAGGTCTCAATTTCCAGCAGTCACCAAAAGCCAACACAGCTTTTCCTGTTGGGTCCACTGGTCAGTTTGCCACATTAAAGGCACGGGATTTGCAGCCTCCCATTATCAGCCTTCGCAGTCTCAGCATGACTTTAAATCCTCCGGCCACACTGTCTTGGTTAATAAGAATCATTATCCATTCGTCTGGCCCTCTCTATGTTGTCATATTCTAGCATCTAATATGATTTCTCTGGAGAGACTCTCCGCCCAATCCCCTAGCAAGCCACCATTTTTGAAAACCAAGTCCTCCATAAATGATTTTACAGCAGATCCAACAGGTACACTCCCTCGATATATGTGGAACTCAACACAAACCCCAGAGTTTCAGCATCATCTGAGCAGGGGTGCTGTGTGCCCCCCAGAGCCCTGAGCTAGGACATTAGGCTGGTGGACACACCCTATAACCTGTGGGGACCTGGGTCCTGAAGCAAGGTTGACCCTGGCCAGTATGGTTAATGTCTCACAGCCAGGGGGAAACTGAGGCTCTGGCCAGGAATCAGGTAGCCAGATGACACCCACAGGACCTGGCAGAAGTCAGGCTGCAGCCTGGAGAAAGGGAAAGCGAAAGTCAGTGGTCCTGCTTCCCAGGGAAGTCCCAGCGATTCCCCTCCCCACCTCCCAGCCGCCTGGCCCGTGGCTCGCCACAGCCCCGCTGGGAAGGGGATTTCTTTCTACTGTGACCCAGCGGCCAGCCGGCCTGACAATGTCCTCAGCACCCGTCCTGGCTGGAGTCCAGGAGCCTGAGAGCCACAGGGTGTGGGGAGGGGCACTGTGCTGAGCGCCCCTGCACCAAGCACCCCCACCCTGCAGGTCCCACAGGGTGTGTGGGCCAGCGAAGGTGAGAGTCCAGCCTGTGGGCAGGCATCCTAGGTCCCGGCCAGTGTAGAAGCCCAACCTTCACCCGACGCAGGTGATTTCAAGGCTGGGCTGGGGAGGGCCCTCAAGGGTGTGACCGGCTGTGAAAGGGCCTCTTCTGACACGTGGGCTGGTCGCTGGCCTTGCCCTAACCACTCCACTTTCACACTCGGGGTTTCCCCAGAGCTGCCTCTTTGGCAAGGGATCTGTCCAGGAAAGTCCCAGACTGCAAGTCAGCAAGGAAAACCCAGACTGTGCCGGTGCCCACTGGTGCCCACATCCAGCTGGGTGCCAGCAGGGAGAGGAGCGCCCGCACCTTCCATGCTGCTCTGGCTCTGCTCCCTGCCCAGTCCCACACTCCCCTTGGGTCCCCCCAGCCCACCACGGTGGGCAGAGGCAAGGAGGGCTGGACACATACGGAGGGCAAAGGCCCGTGTGGGCCAATGGGCAAAGTGTGGGGTGGGAGAAGGGGCGGCATCCCGACCTCCACAGGCCAGCAGAGCCTGCGGCTGACCTCTCTGCGGCCAAGGCCGGAGTGCGGGGAACCTGGGCCTGGGTTGGGATGGGAGACGGGGTGGCCTAGATGGGGCAGAGGGGCCATGACACCGTGTCTGCAAAGAGGTGTCTAGCATCTCTGGTGCATCACTGTCCCCAGTCGGGCCTGTCCCCAGGGGTTGGGGCAGGTAGGAATGCAGCTCCAAATGCACCCTTCCCACCACCTGCAGAGCCCACAGCTGGGCAGCAGGGAGCTGGGACACACACTTCACAGGGCACAGGGCACAGGGCACAGGCACCCTGGGGCACTCTAACAGCCCCAGGGGGGGTGGGGTCAGGAGCCAATGCATAGACAGATGCAGCCAAGACCACTGTGGGCCACAGTCAGGGCAGAGGCAGAAGGGCACAGTGGGCAGGGTGGCAGGTCGGAATAGAGCTCTGTGCGGAGGAGAAGGTACCCAGCACTGCCAATAGTGGCGAGGCCTACAGCCTGGTGCCGGGGTATTTCATCTCCTCGAGGAAAGGCAGCACTGGCTTTAATAAAAGGACTCCCAGCAGACACCAGGGCAAAGGTCCAGCTCTGCTCCTTGGCTCCGGGAGCTGGTGTGGGCATCGCTGTTGGTGTCCCTCCTAGAAAGCCCTGCTGGGCTCTCCTGGCTCCCCAGCCTCACAGCAGAACTGATTCCTGGCACCACTGTCCTGGCCGCTGACAGGCACTTCCTTGGGGCACAGTCACCCTGAAATTGTGGCCAGGCACCCTCTGCCTGCACTTCCTAAGCAGATCCTGAGGCGGAGACCAGACTGACTTCCAGCTGGGGGCAGGGACGAGGAGGGTGTCCGGCTTCTGGGGTGCCTGGCCTGCCTCGCACCCATCCCCATAGGTCATGTTCCGAGGCAGTGCTGACTTTTCTGCCCCTGTTTGTCCCAGCCTTGGGGTGCTGGTGGGAATGGGTAGATGGGCCTTGTGACTCAGGAGACCTGCCTGTGTCTGCAGCCACTCAGGGGCCTGCTGAAGGGCAGTCAGCAGGGTGGCCTCATCCCCTGGCCACCCTGCTGAACATGACCACACCCCTGCCCCAGCCTGGTGCAGCCCCTGCAGACCACATCTGTGTCCCTGAAGGCGTCCATCCCGGAGCTGAGGCCTGGAAAAGGGGCCCGGGGAACTGGGTAGCAGGGCAGCATTTGTCCATCCCGTCTTGTTCTGCAAGTGTCTGTCCAGAGCTGATTGCCTGGGGCAGAGAAGCAGCTGGCTCTCAGCAAAAGGTAATGGGCAGGACAGCATCATGGGCCTACTGAGATGGCCAGGGCAGGGCTGCACAGGCTGGAAGCTGCCAGTACCGAGGTGGCTGTGAGAGGCCCTGCCCATCCTGAGCCGGCTACACCCGCACAGGGGACACAGTGACAGTGTGTAATGACCTGCCTGCCACCTGCTTTCTGGGAAGTCACCACAGGGTTCCTTGGTCATCCTGGGCCCCAAAGAACTCAGAGTAGGGGCAGCTCCCCTGTGTCTGCCGGGAGTATCTGCACAGGCTCTCTGTGAGGTGTTGCTAGGAAGTGGAGATGCTGAAGCACTCAGCTCTCCAAGTCTCCTGCTGAGGCCCTGGACACCAGGAAAGGACACACCAGGTTTTGTGGGCACAGAGGCCATGGCAGGATCAACTGAGCCCCTGGGAGGGGCTCACCTGTCCCAGGCCCAGTGGGGGCCATGGGTCCTGGCTGAGCGCAGGAGGCTACAGGTGAGGCTGGACCTTGACAGACCTCTGTCACTGATTCTCAGTGCCCAGCCACCCTGTGCTCTTCCCAGCCAGGAGCCAGGGTCTCTGCAGCCCCAGAAGGCGTGGCCTGCCCTTGTGCACCCTCCACACGCAGTAGCAGTCAAGAGTAGTGTCAGCCTCGGGGAGGCCCCAGGAACAGTGCTCAGCAGCGCAGGCAGATTTGGGACCTCATTCCCAGCCCGGTCTTGCAGGGGTCACAGGAAACTGTACCCCAGCCTGCTCCCCAGGGTGGTGGGGGTCCTAGGGACTCAGGCACAGCTTGTGGACAGCATCTGGCTGGGCGCCCTCCAACTGGGCAGCACAACCTCATGACAGGGTCACAGTCTCAGCCCATGAAGACTGAGTTGGGGGAGCCCCGTACTCTACAGCTAGGACTGCGCTGCTCAGGCAGGACAAGGGAGCTGACTGGGCAGGAGGCGGCTGGCCCACGTCCGGGGTGTCTGGGCACCAGCGTCCACATTGGCTTCCTGTCACCGGCAGGACAACAACCACAGCCCAGAGCTCCAAGAACAGAAGTTCCCCCTTCCCTGCTCCTGTGGCAGAGTCAGGGTGGCATGGCTTTGAAGCAGCATGGAGTCTGGGATGTGGCCCCCGTGAGCTGTGTCCTACAGACCCTGCAAGTCAGGGTGCAGGGGCCTCAGCCCCACTGATGACACTCCACACCAATGGGCTGTGCCCAAGAGGGGCATGGCCAAGGACAGGGTGCCCAGGACTGCAGCTCCCACTGGCAGTGGCCACTCTGGAGGGCTGCAGTGAGGACATCTGCTGTAGCCTGGCGTTTTCCTGGGCACAGGATGCTTGCTTGGAGCACACTGGGCCCTGGCCTTGCCTCGAGGGGGCCCAGGTCCAGCGCAGCTATTCCTGGCCCTTTGCCTGAGAGGTCTGTAGGTCCCCATAGGATTTGAAGTGGGAGTGGAACAGGACCCTCATGGGCACTGGGCACTGGCATAGTCAACGCAGCTGTCCTTGCACCCAGCTGGGACCCTGGGGCGGCTGTTCTCTCCCAGTGCTGGCCTCCTGGGCTGATCCATGGGACCTCGACCAGTTGTGCCCCTTGGGATGGGCTCCCAGACCTCCCAGGGCAATGAGTTTGAGGCACAGAACTGGGGCCTCTGCCATGGCACTGGATAGAGCCTCAGGGGTGCACCTATGTCCAGCCTGCTAAGCCCACCCCAGGCTTGGGTGCTCATCACATAGCCACGGACAGGACAGGCGTTCAGTGGGCACGGACCTAGACATCCAAGGTGGTGAAGGCCGTGCAGACCTCAGCGAGCCTGGAAGCCACAGTCGAGGCCTCACTGTGAAGCGCTGGGAAGAGCCTGACCACGATGGGGACCCAGGGAAAGCTGGCTGGATGTGAGGGTCTGCCTCCCTCACACAGCTGTGTGAAAGCAGCAAGGGTGCCACCCACAGGGCGGCCATGGCTCAGTTCCCTCCCACCCTAGCACGGCCTCTTCTGCCTGGATCCGGAGCCTGGCTGACCTTGGGACCTTGGGGAAGTGCCCTGCATCCCAAGTACCAAATGTATTGTCTGGCACTGGAGCCTGGGGCAACCAAGAGCCAGTGACCCTGTGCCGCAGAAGGATGATCATCTGGGGCGGGGGTGGCCATTCTCACACGTTCCGGGCATGTGGACACCAGGGCATCAGGAGGGGCCTTGCAACTCAGGGGCCACATTGCCTTTCCCATTGTGGCACACTGCAGGGGGTTCAGGCCCTGAGACCAAGGCCTTGAGGTGCAGAAAACACTCAGGAAAGTGGTACGGCTGAGCCACGCAGCACGTGCCTCCACCAGGGAGGCAGAAGCCACCAGGGAGCCAGTGCCACAGTAGCAGGGGTGACAACAGCATCACCAGCAATACTGTGACATTGTGGTGGCTTTTAGAAGGTGCTGAGCCAGGACGGGACACGGATCGCAGGCAGGGCATCAGGACGCACATGCACACACTAAGCTCAGGCAGCGGCCACACCATGTCCTCTCCCAGTTCCAGGGACTCGACGATGTCACTTCTACAGCAGTGACCTGGTTCACACTGCAGATGGGACACACCTGCCCTGGGCTGCCTGGCATCTCCCCGGTGAGGTGGGGGCTCTTTTGGGGGAGCTTGCCAGTCCCTGCCCTGGGCTGCAGCCTCCAGGGACCCTGAGGGATGCAGGGTGGCTCACTCAGGACAGGTGTTGGGCTGAGCCCTCTGCAGTGGGCACGAGGACCAGTCCAGCAGCACATCTCAGACCCCCAGCCAGGTCCTGGTCTCTGCTTCAGTTTCTGTCACCTGGTAGGTGGGACAGTGAGGGAGGAACAAGTTGGATGTTGACCTCTCCTGGGGACAGGGTCAGACCTGCGTAAGGGGCACAGGATCCTTCAGGCAAGGTCCTGTCCCACTGTGACAACCAGGGCTGGAAGCACAGCCTGGAGGGTGCAGGAGGCTGGTGAAGAGTGGGAGTTTGGCCCCTGGCCCCGACCCTGCAGCCCTGAATGTGCGGCAGGGACCTTAGTGGCTGTGATCTCTCCATCTCTTCCTTCTCCCTGTGTCTGCTTTGCTTGGTCTCTGTCTCTGTCTCCCTCTGTCTGTCTTTAGCATGTCCCAACCTCCTGCTCTAGTGACTCATCTGATAAAGGACAGACCTTCCCCAGCACTGTGTCAATCAAAACAGCCCTGGCTGGAAATCCCCCGACAAAGGCCAACTTCCTCTCCGGAGAGGCTGTGGTGGCTTCCCTGTCACCTGCTCTCGTGGCAGGTGCAGGCACCTTCTGCAGGGATGGTAGGGGCAGCAAGGGTCAGGGCCAGGTCTCACTGGACATGGAGCTCGCCTACAGCTGTCCTTGGCACCAACTGGAGCATTCCCCGGCAAGAGCACACTGCCCTCTCTGAGGCCAGCTGTTGCCCACCCAGCAGCTGCAGGGACCACATCTCTCCAGGCTCCAGGTCCCCACCTGGCCCCTGCCATGTGCAACACTGTGGCCACCTGGGCTTCTTTAGGTGCTGAACCCACGCTGCTCCAGATGGAGGCCCTGAGTACCTGTGTCCCGGCACCATGGACAGCAGGGCTGAGGGAACCCAGCCACCTGCCAGCTGTCCCCTCATCCTTGCCGGGTGGCCACAGTTGAGCTCACTTGCCCCCTACCTTGACTTGTCCACCTACCCCTGACCCGTCCACCTGCTCCTCACCCATCCACCTGCCCCTCATAGTCCACCTGCCCCTCACCTGTCAGACCTGGACAGTGGGACCTCCAGACTATGACCCAGTGGGTACCTGTGACTTAGGAGTGACCTTGATGAGCTTGGAGGTTTTCTGCACAGCTGGTTGGGGGTGGTACCTGGCAGGCACCAGGCAGGGGCTGAGGACTCTGGAAGTGGCAGTGTGGTGATGACTGTGGCCACTGAGTGACCCTGAGGTGACCAGATGATAAGCTTCACACTGTGTGCTTCATGCAACAGAACTGCCTGCAAGTGTCCACAGTGCCCTGGGTGCCCTGGGTGTCTTGGGTGCCTCAAGCCTGTGCTGCTGGAGGCCAGGCGCCCCCACTCTGCCCATGCTGGAGCCGGCGTCAGCACCTCATTGGGCTGCAGAGGCTGTGAGGTCCCTCGGGTCCTAACCCAAGAGGACTGACCATGCTGGCCACAGCCAAAGAGAGGCCTGGACAGCTTGACCTCAAGACAGTCAGTCGGGAGCACCCTCCGGGTCGGGGCTCTGCTAGGGCAACTCGGTCATCAAAACGGCACAACAGTGGAGGGTGGCGGGACCCACCAGCACCCAGACTTCCGGAGACAGGCCTCATGGAACTTCCTGTTTCAGGCCAGACCTGAATCACCGTGAGGCACTTAATGAGAAATATTTCAGTACTTCTGCTATCTGTCCTTTGCCACAGTCAGGAAGTACAGGGAACAACACGTGGAACCTGACAGGAACAGCACGCCAGCTCCTTCCAGCTGCTCCACTCCCTTCTCTTTCCAGCCCCGAACGCCTGCACCTCAGGGCTGGGCCCCAGGAGCCTGGAGTGGACAGTGGGGGGCTGTAAAGGGAGCCACCAGCCTCAGGGAATGCACCCCACTCCTGCCTCAGTCTCCCTCCTGCACCACTCTGCCTGTGGCAGGGACAGAACTGTGCCTGTGCTGGCTTCAGCCCAGGACCTGGTCCAGGTACCTCCCCAGGCCAGGCCCGGAGGTCAGGTGAAGCCACTCTGCACCCCAGGATGCCGTAACCAGCAGCTCTGGCAGCAGGGACAAGGGCCTGGAACAAAGCTCGTGCTGACGCCTGAGCCGTGACTCTGGCCTCCCCTCACCGTGAGACACTGGGCTGGCGTCTAAGAGGCTAGAAGCTGGTGCGGCCACATGTGGGTCTTCAGTGACACCAGGGACTTAAAACATGCCAGAAGCCCAGTGTGCAGTATGAGTGACAGAGAGCTGGAAGGCTCCAGAAGCCAGGTGGGCGGGGCTCACCTGTAATTCAGCTCTGTGTAAGGCTGAGGCAGGAGGACTGCAGATTCCAGCCCTGCCACACCACCTTAGTGATAGCATGAACCTGTCAAAACGAAGACTAAAAAGGGTCGGGGTTGTAGCTCAGTATGAAAGTCCTGGTTCAATGCCCACCTCTAGAAAAGAAAAAGAAAAAAGAGGGGAATAAGTGGGGCCGAGTCTCACCATGACCGCAGAGTCCTGGCAGGCTGACCTGAGTGCCAACCCTGGCAAAGCCCTTCTGTGGGCCCTGCCCTGGCCACACTGGACCCTGTTGCTGCCGACCCAGGAGGAGGGAGTCTCACAGCACCCAGAGTCCCAGTGTGTGTTCGGAGGCCGTGTCCTGGAGGGTGACCTGATCTTCACAGGCCCTGCACGGCCACTGTGCACAGACCAGGGCCCCAAGTGTGGTAGACGTGGGAACTAAGGGGCATCCAACAAACAGCACAGCTGCCTGGACCCAGACAGGTGCCTCCACAGTCACGCAGGGCCTTGGGATCTGCAGGGACGCCCCCGCTCCCGCACCCTGTCACATGACTCTGTTCTCAGGAGCCAGAGGTAGACAGAGACAAACATGGGGTGGCATCTGCATGCCCAGCATCTATACTGCAATGAGGCCTGAGAATGGCCGAGCAGAAGAAGGGCTATCCTTGTCACACGGTGGGGGTTCCATCCTTGTACTTGGCTCCTGGTCGTCACAGTAGGAGCACAGGTGGCTGGGGCCCCACATGGTGGCTGGAGGCAGAGGCAGGGACAGAACCCCCCTCTCCTCAGCCAAGCTCCCACAGCTTCTGGGTACAGGGAGGGTCCTCAGTGGGATCAGAAGGACAAAATGGACATGCGATTCTGTGAGGGTCAGTGCTGACAGCCCACATGGCTGTCTTCATCAAGTGGAGGAGCTGGAAGTCCCAGAAGGGAGGGAGGAGGAGCGGCCCCAGGCTGGGCTGAGGCCTCACAACGCCTGCATCCATGCGGAAGGGCTGAGGCAGCTGGGGTCTGATGTCCACAGCGAGGGCAGCAGGAAATGACAGCGCTCAGGCAGGTGCAGCCTCCCCTGGACTGCACCCACGCCCAGGACAGGTCTCTCCCCAAATGCCCCGACACACCGGGAGTGCTAGGCTAAGTCCTAGGTGTCACCAGCACAGCGGGCAGACAGTGGTGAGCAGCCGTCACATGTCCCCTAAAATATCATTCAGCCTTAAAAAGGAAGGACATTCCGACACGGCTACTACGCAAATGGACAAACTCTACCTATGGGACCTCCCTGGGGACCTCAGGTTCCAGCCAGGAAGCAGAGCCAGGAGGGCAGCTTCCATGGACAGTGAGAAGCTGCTGGAGGGGCGGAGGTGGCCTTGGGCAGCATGAATGCACTTAGTGGCCATAAAGTGGGCACCTGAAAACGCCTAAAAGGGCAAGTTTTATGTTCTGCTTTTATTATTTTTTTGGTACCCGGAATTGAACTCAGGACCTTACACTTGCCAGGCAGGTATTTATGTTGCTGAGATATATCCTCAGCCCAAATGCTTTTAAAAAGTGGGGGCAAGCCTGCCAGAGGTGGACACAGCCCCAGCCTGGTCCCTCCCCTAGGTGGGAGTGGCCCTCTAGCCAGCACCCTACACCTGTGAGTCCCCAGGGCCTGCACTCAGCCCCTCCTGACACTGCCCCTGAGATCAGGCCACAGCGGGAGCAGACCCGGGAGGACAGTGGCTGTGGGACTGCACTGTGTCATGGCATCACTCAGGGATGCACCTGCTGCGCGATTCCACAGGGGTCTGAGGAGCACTTCACAAATGCTGCGCCCGGGGTCTTGTGTGGCTTCACACGCACGGTAAACTAAGCATGCAGGGACAAGGTCTCCCCTAATGGCCAGCGTTTCTGTCCAGGGGCCTCATGCCCATTGTGTCTTCATTGAAATCCGTGTCCTCAGGAAAGGCAGGATTACAATGTTTCCTAACAGACTTGAGCTGGTGTCCTGACTCCCTGGTCAAAAACAGCTGGGGGATAATGAATGGATGAACATGGTGTTTGCTGTATGAGTTCACCATGGTGTCCACTTGAGTAAGAAAGACCAGCTGATTAGTCTAGCACAGCTCTGGGTATGGATGACCAATTTACTGACAAGGGAGAACCCACTGTGGGCACCAACCAATACAATAGGCTCACAGGCTGAATGGAATAAAAAGGGAAAGAAGCAGGAAGTCTCACTTAGGGTTTCTTTGGAGGAGTGTCAGTTTCATTACCACCTTTGGAATCCATCTCCAGGCTTCCAGCTCAGACTCTTCAGCTTTCCAACAGCACCCCTTTGGCTTCCTGACACGGACTCCAACAGGACTCTTCAGTGAGTGCCTGCTTTTCCGTCTCAATTGGATCGTTCAGCTCTCCTTTGTGCAGACAGCCCCTTTATACTCTTCCACACCTGACTCCACGAGTGGTCACCACAAGCCTAGCCTGTAGATCCCGTCTACATAGTCCTGTATTAAATCTGCTACTCTAGGGAACACTGACCTGGACACATGCAGTGGACGTGTATGGGGAAGAGTGACCGACCGCATGACTGCAGTCCCCAGTGACATGTGTGTGCACACGCAGCACCCAGAAACGCGTCCACCTGTTCACAGCCTGTCACGGAGTCGTGCTTGAATTCTGGTGCCTGATTTCCTGTTATGCCGTAACAACTTTTTAAAGATAAAGACTTTTTTCTGGAGACAGAGTCTCACTATATAGTTTAGTGTGGCCTTGAACTCACTATGTACCCATGCCAGTCTCAAACTGCTAGTGATCCTCCTGCCTCAGCCTCCAAAATTCTGGGCATATAAGCCTGTGCCACCAAGCCCAGTCTAAAGATTACTTTAAAAACCTGTGATGGATTAAAATACAACTTACACAATTGTGGGATCCAATGAGAGCAGGCCCAGAGGGAAACAGCTCAGGAGGTGGATACTTGGAAGGAAGAACGGCCTCACTGGGAGACGGGAGCAAATCCAACCTAAAGCAAGAGGAGAAAAGACATAATAAAAGAGGCCAGCAGGCTTATCACCTGTTGGATACCAGCTGCATACCTGGATTGTCTAAAGACATCTCGGTATAATATAAAATCAAGAAAATTAAAATGGAGCAGCTGTTAAAAAGAAATAGACAACAAAGATGAATGAAATGGAAAACAGAATCAAGAGAAAAATCAACAAACACAAAGCTGGCTCTTTGAGAAGTCAGGAATGCTAGTCCTCTGGCCAAGTTAGTAGAGGGAAACTGCAGGGCAGAGACGACAAATGGCAGAAACGGAGAGGAGGGGACATCACTACTGATAATCAAGAGCTTTCATGAGCCATGTCCACAGATTGGTAACCAAGAAGGGACAGACTGCCTGAAAAACCCAGGAGTACACGGGTCCGAGAGAGTCTATTCATTTAGTTTTTGTGGTGTTTTATTTGAGACGAGGTCTCACTGGCCTTGAACTCACCGTGTGGCCAGACTGGCCTTGGATGCGGGCTGATTCTCCTCAGTTTACTGTGTTAAGGAAACTGAACCCAAGCGAACGTCCTTCTACGCAGAAAGGCTCCATCCCGGTGAGGCTGCTGGCAGATTCTACCAAACATTTATGGAAGAAGTTACGCTAATTCTGCACAGTCTCTTTCAGAAAATAAACGCAGAGGGACACACGAACTCATCCTGTGAAGCAAGCATTCCCCTACGGCCCCTATCTGCAGTTCATGTCTTTCATGAATACAGGTGAAAATCTTCAGCCAAATCCTAGCAGATCAAGTCCAAGAAAAAGCCAAGTGGGACTTGTCCCAGATAGAAAAGCTGCTTCAACGTTCACAGAACGAGCCCATCACAGCAACAGCCTAAAGCACAAAAACCACAGGACCACAGCAACAGCGGCAGAAAAAGCACTGGATAATCCAACACCTATTCAGGAAGCCCGTGGGAAAGGGAACTTTCTAGACTTGAGCACATCCACAGGACAGCACAGCTAACAGCAGACAGCAGCAGGGCAGGGACATCTCCTCTCACCACAGCTTTTCAACACCACACTGGGAATCCCAGCTGACACAGTAAGGAAACCAAAGAAAGGGTACACAGGCTGGGGGGGGACATGAAATTACCTTCGTGTACAGATAATGTGATTGTCTAGGTAGAAAATCCAAAGGAACTGGCCAGAAACTCCTGGGACTAATGTAAAATGACAGCCAGTCTATAGGGTAGGAGGTTAATACGTAAAGTCAGGTGCTTTTCCACACACCAGTCGTGAACAATTGGAATTTGAAAAGTGAAATATAGTAATATTTATGTTAGGCTTCCCCAAGATGAAGTCCTTGTGTATAAATAAAAACACATGATCTATGAAAAAGTGCAGAACTCTGTGAAAGAGGTCAAAGGAGGGCCAAATAAATACAGGGACACCCCACACGCGTGGGCGGACACCCGTGTGCACCTTCTCACTCTGACACACACTATGAAGCCTCGGCACTGGAAAAAGAGTGGAGAAACAGACAGGTGGAAGAACCAGGAGCCCCGAAACAGGTTCGCACACACAATCAATGGGCTTTGGCACCGGGGTGAAGGACACACAGCGGGCAAGAGCCTTTTCAATAAACAGCACTGAAACGCTGAAATCCAAAACGGCAAAGACTTGAATCAGATCTTTCACCTCACAAAAACTGATTCAAGCAGGTCCTAAGACAAATGAAATGTGAAATGCTAATTTAGGAGGCTCCTCAATTACATAGGAGAAAATCTGGATGACCTGAGGCTGGGATGACTTTAAAACACAGCACTCAGATGTGACCCCGATGGAACCCCAGACAGCCGCATGGCACCACAACATCCAGCTGCTGCCCTGCGAAGACGTTGGCAAGAGAAGTGACCAGCCCGGAGGAAACAGCTGAGCAGGCACTGGTTAGAGGACTGTCATTCAAAATCCTGAAACAGGCCACACACAGGAAGCCCAGCACTTGGGGGGCTGAGGCAGGAGGATCGATAGGAGTTTGTAGTGAGTTCAAAGCCAGCCTGAACTACATAATGAGACCCCACCCTAAAAAGTCCTAAAAAAGCACCTCCTATAAACTCAACAGAAAGAGAGCAAGTCTAAAACAGGTGAACAATCTCAGCACAGACGCACCAGAGATGCTCAGAAGGGCCGGGGTGCTGCAGATCATGGCAGCAGCAAGACAGCACCGACCCCAAATGGCCACGCACAAGACATGGTGTCCAGGTGTGCCCACGGGTGAGCACCACATGCACACACACAGCAGCCGGCACGTGGGTGTTTGTAACAGGTGGACTGAGAACTGGCAAGCTGGAAGCACTGAGGTGACCTTCAGTGGACAGAAGGCTGGACGAGGGGCAGGCAGATGGGGCAGCACCAGCAACACTGAGACACGGTGCTCACTGCAGCAGAACCCAAAATGTGTGTCACTAACGGATAGGAGTTGGAAACACAGGATGCTGTGCGGAGGGAGCTGGAGACTGCTTGGAGGCTGTCAGAGAACCAGGTGAGGAAACGGAGGCCACTCTTCAGGACAGCGAGGCACTCTGCAGCCCAAGGCGGCCGACCCAGGATGCACGGCTCCCAGGGTAGCCACTGTCAGAGGCACCCTTGGGTAGAGATGCCAAGGAGGCTGGGCGGCACCTGCAGGGCACCTGTACCTTCCTCCAGCTGTGGTGTGAACCTAAAACTCCCTACAAAGTCCAGTCTAAGACAAATCCTAACACAAGCTAGGACAGCTGGCCTACAGGAGGGGCGCACACCGAGAGTAGGGATGGGGTCTTGGAACTGGGCTAGGGTCCTCCCATGGCTGGCGGACGGAGGGCTCAGGCCTCTCCCAGTGTTAGGGATTAAAACCTGGTGGTCACCTTAACACTAGCTGAATTAAATCAGCATGGTGCTGGCTGTATCACGGTCCCCCTGAGGAAAGCCGCCAGCATAAACAGAGACATAGAGAAGAAGAGTAGGGCACTGCGGTTCTCCTAAGTGTTGCTGTTTCAGGCCGTTGGTTCTGGAGGAGCTCATCATGACTAGCTTCCCCAGTGTGAGTTTAAGCATTGTTATTAGAGGAGCTCAGGGCTTCCGTGTTGCTGAGGATGGCTGTGGTGCTTGTCAGGTCAGCCCTGGTCTTTATTCTGAGTGTGACTTCTTGGCTTCAGTGTAGAACCTAATGACAACTCCTTCACCCGCTGGCATAGACTTTCCAGCTCCCACCGCTGACCTTTGGGCCTTCCTACCACAGATCCTGAACACAGACTGGTGTGAGTCCTTCTCGTGGGCTCTACACCTCCAGTTGGACTCATAGGAGGCACTGTTATGGGCTCCAGGTCTTCATCTGGACTCATGCAGGACAATGCTGTGGGATCCAGGCCCTTGGCTGAATATTCCGGGTCTTCAGTGTTGTAGACAGATTTCCTGCACTGTCTTGTGTTAACACTGGGTGGCCATCATGAAATAATATTGTAAATTCTGTGTCCTGATTCCAGTTGTTCTCCTCACAGTCCTGACCACAACAGCAGGGTACACTGAGTGCCACATGCCCAGCACACCCAGCCCTGGGGGACCCCAATGCACAGATCAGTCCTGCACCTTCAGTCCTGCAGCTTAGTGCAGCAGCAGGACAAATGTTGAGCTGGGGATGTAGCGCACATGTGCATTTCTGCAGACCACAGTTCTGGAACGGGCAGTGGGCCGGAGGTACCTGCTAGGCCAGGACACAGAGGGGACTGCCTGACTAGAGCCGGAGAGGCCACAGGGCCCAGCAGAGCCAACACAGGGCTGAGGGGCCTGCAGGGGCAGCAGGCGTGGACAAGAGGCCCCCAAGCCACAGTCATGCGGCCTGGCTGGGGCATGCTGGGCTGAAGCCCAGTGAGGAGGAGGCGAGGCAGGGCCTGGGTCTGATTTCTGGTGGGCACAGGCACAGCACTCCTAAACTGTGGGTGAGAGGTGCCTGTGTGCCGCTTAGACTTGCCACATGAGGTGGCCTGCAGAGAGGGGCAGGAGCTGGAGGCCTCCAGGGCCGGGGGTGTGCCCAGGACGGCCAGGAGTTAGGGTGCAGGCACCTGGGTGGGCGGGAGGCAGGTAGCTGAGAGACACCCAGACCAGGTGCGGGATGGCAGCACAGCAGCTGAGACAAGGGGTTAACAGTGGGGAACGGCAGGTGGCAGGAAGTGCTGGGCGGAAGCCTGGAGCCCAGTGCCCACAGCGGAGGGCAGAGAACGGAAGTGTGGGGAACACAGGTCCAAAAGGGCTCCTGGAGATGATAAGCCCTGTTTTGTGGCCAGGGCCGGAGGGGTGCGGCGGCCTGGGCACCTGCAGGCTGGTGGTTCTGCTGCGCTCCCTGGTGGCACTGCATGAACCCACACCCTCTTCATCTGAGGCTGCCTGGCTTCCCCTGCAGCCCCTTCCAGCCAAGCCAGTGCAGGCCTTCACCTCCCAGCTGCTCTTCTCCTGACGGGGCTCTGTCCCCTTTCCTGACCACCCTGCCCATGCATGGTACTGCCCACCCTCCCTCCTAAATGGCCATGTCTGTCCTGCCCAGAGGGCTCTAGTGTCCAGCAGCCTGTGCTGGGGCCCTGCCCTGGCTCCACGAGGCCAGGCAAGATGCCACCACCTAAGACAGTGCCTGACACAAGGAGAGACTCGTCTCGGCTAGAGGCAGTGGCCACTGTCCGGCCTCTGCTCTGCAGCAGCCCTCCTGGGACTAAGTAACTCTAGAGCTCAGGTCTAGCACTGTCCACTTGGACCCAGGCCACACAGCACCCAGACAGGTGGACACCGCTAGGTCTGGCTGAACCGTGCTAGGCCAGCAGGAGGTTGAGGGGACACGTGGTTTTAGACAGATGAGCTGGTTTCTCCTGGGTGCCGAGGTGCTGCTAACAGCAGCCCTTCCTGGGGAGTTCCCGAAGCAGGCACTACCTTTCTGGTCACCTGCCCTTGGTGGTAGCCTGCTGGTGGAGGAGGAGGAGGAGGTGAGTTCCAGGCAGCAGTTCACTCCCACAGCATCTGAAGCTGTGGGCCGCACTGGGGACAGAGGGGACAGGGGCAGCGGGTTTCTCTCCCACAGCACCTATGCTGCCTCCGCACAGGGTCCCTCGCGGGCATCCCCCCAGTGCCCGGCTCAGCCAGTACCTCCCTGCCTGCTCAGGAAGGCAGACCCTTGGGGTAAGCAGGCAGGCCGACTCACGATAGGCTGCTGCCTGAACAGGATGGGGCAGCTCCAGGGATGCACAGAACACCATGGTGACCACACCCCTCATCCACAAGGGTTCTGGTTATCTGGGTGCTCTGGCCAGTGACCACAAGACAGGTGGGAATACTTAGCACTGACCTTTGACACTTGTCACAGGGACAGCCAGAAGGGAGCATGGACAGGTATGGCCCAGCTCAGCAGACACAGGCAGGGGCCAGGGAACCCTCAGGCCGCACCACCCATATCCCAGGCCAGTCAGAATCCAACGACAACCCCAACAGTCTCAAGCAACCAAAGGGAACCAAGAGTGACCTGAGCACCTGAGTGGACAGGGACGTGAAGCCAAGTTGCACACTCAAGGATGCTGCATGACAGGAGCCAGTGCGAGCCCTGCAAACCCCTGGCAGTGCAGGCTGAGCACAGGAGACCCAGGAGATGCCCAGGCCCACACCTGAGCCCAGCACGCCTGCAGCCACACGAGGCATCCACACAGCATGGGAGCATAGAACCCTGTGGAAGCAGCTCAGGGAGAGGGCTGGGGGGGGGGCATGGGAGGGAAAGTGGGGGCTCCCGGCCTACAGGCAGGCGTCTGGGCTGGAAGTGCATCCACACAACTCATGCACCCCCACATACAAACACATATGTAATTCTCCTCAGCTGCATACAGGACATTCTCCAAAACAGACCACACACAGGCTCATGGAACACGCTTAAGTAAATGCAAAGGAACTGAACTTATCCCATGCATAGTATCAGACCACAGTGCAAAGGTGCCAAACACATTCACTGGAAGAAAGTCTCTTTAATAAAACAGTGCTGGAAAAACTGACTTTCCACAAGCTAAAGACTACAACTGGACCCATATGGATTAAAGATATTAATATTGAAACAGAAACATTACGTCTGCTGGAGAGTAGGTAAAACGCTTGAAGACACTGGGGTAGGCAAAGACTTCATGAATAAAAACCCAGAGTGCACAGGAACTGTCACAAAGAATCAACAACTGGGATCTCACCCTACTGAAAAGCTTTTGCACAGCAAGAGAAACCGAGAATGAAGAGACAACCCACAAGGTGGGAGACAATGTTTGCCAACAGCTCCTCAAAGGATTAGTATCAAGAATGTATAAAGAACTAAAAAAAAAAAAAAAAAAAAAAAAATCAGTCCTCCCATATTTAAAGACCCAATCCAAAAATGGGCATCTGAGATGAATGCACACCCCTCTGATGAAGAAAGACAGTAAATAAACACGTGAAAACATGTTCAATATCGCTGGTGATTCGAGAGATGCAAATTAAAGCAACACTGAGATTCCACTTCACCCCAGAAAGAATGGCTACTATCAAAAATCAAGCAGTAACAAATGCTGGAGGGGCTGTGGGGAAAAGGAGCCTTTCTCCACTGTGGGTGGGAGTGCAGACTGGTGCAGCCACTGTAGAAATCAGTGTGGATACTTCTCAGAAAGCTAAGATTGGAGGTCCCCCCCCCCGCAAAAAAAAAAAAAAAAAAGATTGGAGGTCCCATTCGACCCAGCTATTCCCCTTCTAGGTATCTTCCCAAAACAATTAAAAACATCATACCACAGCAGTATATGCATACCCATGTTTATAGCAGCAGTTTATAATAGCCAGGTCTTAGAAATAACCTAAGTGCCCATCCACTGAGGAATGGATAAAAAAGATGTGGTACTTTTATGTAATGGTGTACTATTCAACCATAAAGATGATAAACTGGACATCTTTATAGGTAAATGGGTGCACCTTGGGAACATACTGATTAGTGAAATAAATCTCACACATGCATAATCACCGTATTGTTTCATTAGTATGACAAGGAAAAAACATGTACTTTGTCCCAGAGAGAATGACTTCAGCCAAGCAATGCCTCAGGACAAACCTGCCTTCACTTTAACCCACTGTGAGTCACTTTGACCTTCGGATGTCTTATGAAGTCTTTGATGTGCAATAAGGTTTGGGTTTTTTGCACGTGGATATTCAGTTGTTCCAGCATGTTTACCGAAGGTACAATCCTTTCTCCACTTAATTGCTTTTGCATCTTTGCCAGAAACCAAGTGTGCGTCCTGTGGCTTACCTACTTTGGGATTTTGTTAGTATTCTGGTAGTTTGTCTTGCTACCAGTGCCGTTTTGTTGCGATTGGTGACACTGTGATAAGTTGCGGCATTGGGGAGCTCTAATCTTGTTCCCTTTATCAAAGCTGTTTATTCTTTTATTTTTACAGAAATGTAAGAATCAAAATGTGAATCTCTGTGAGGGATGATGTTGGCAGTTTGATGGGGGAATGTTTTCTGATCTTTGCTGTTTTCTCTGTTTTGGGTTTATTCTCTTTTATTTATAACTTCTCAGGGAAAGATGGGTGTTTTGTCACTTCCTTTTCTGATAGATGTACTTGGTGTTAAACAAACAAACAAAAAAAAACCCCACGCATACACACAGGCACAGTTTCAACACACATGCTCAGGAGGACGGAGGCCCAGCAGGCTCAAGCTACTTCTGCCAGCGGCCACCCAGACTGTGCACATGGGCACTGGGCTCTGGCCCAGGGCCATGTGAGGGTGGCCCGGCTCTGCGAGAACCACAGGCCACCACGATTGCAGGTCCTGTGGAAGAATCAGAAACTGCCCAGCATGGGGAGCAGTGAGCCCCCTGCCCCCAGGCCCGAGGGTGGACTTCTCTGCCCTGGCAGGTCTCTGTGTGTTGTGGGTGATACTGATGCCACTAAAGCTGAGTGCCTTCCCTCCCAGGGCCCAGGTGAGCTCTGGCCAGCATCCAAACCCAGGGGACAGAACAGAGCTCAAGGCCCTGATGAGTACCAGCCTGCAGTGTGCCATCGAGAGCACAATGGAGAGAAGATTCCAGAATGGGCAGTGTGCAGATACCCACATTCTCACTGAGATGCTTTTCCCAGACCAAAACCACAGGGAAAGGACATGCACCCCACCCTGGCCTTCATTCCTCCCACACCCCACGCTCCTGCCCGGCCCAGGGACCTGGGCTAAGCATTGCCGATTTCCTCTTTCTCTTGAAAATTAGGAGAACTGAGATTAATTGAAGGGCTCTTATTTATAACCCACTCCCCAGTTTCAGAGGCCTTAGATGGAGATGTCAGGAGTTTCCAATCTGGAAAGGAGTTCATTCTCCAGCGCGTGGGGCTGCTGGCTCCAGAAATCCCCTTGTTTTAATTAAAAATGTTTACTGCAGATACAGAACTTTCCTTTATCTATGGACATGGGACTCGTTTCCTGCTTGTCCTTAAAGCGTCTCTGCGCCCAAACTCTGAACCTTGAGAGTGAGGACAGTTACTTCTCTACTTAATCCCCTGCCTGGCTCCAGACTCAGTTTCCAGGTCACATCCATGAGGGAAGTCTCCGTAGCTCCTGCGGCCACTGCCCATGTCTCCTCCAGGAAGGTGCCCAGGGTCTGAACTGACCATGCTGCTGCTGCATGCCCAGCAGCACACAGAGGGCATCTCTTCTACCATCACTTGCCCGTGAGCTCCAGCACGCTCCTCACCATGACCCCAATCCCATCGTGGATGTGGTGCAGCGCAGTGTCGCACATGAAGGCCGGGGTGGTGACCACTTTGTTCTTCTGGTCCACGTGAGCTTCGTGAACAGGGTTAGGGAAAAAGCACCCACGAGGCTGAACTTAGGAGGCCCTGGGTCCCCAGGCCTGGGAGCTCCCAGCAGGACAGTTCCTTTGGGCACTGCTACCATGGACTGCCTCCCCCGAATCTCAAAGCCCTGAGAAGGAGGTGTGGGCCGCGGTGAGCAGCTGCCGTCCGGCTGGGTCTCAGGTAGCAGACACCCTTCGAGTATGGGACTGCCCCGAGGCTGCACCACGGCCACTTGGGAACAGGCAGACAGGCGCAGGACTGCAGCTGCTCGCTGCCATCAGCCTCAGCCTCCCACCAAGGAAGTCGCTGTAGCAGTTCCCAGGGATGGGGCACCTGGAAGGGTGCCATGAAGGGACATGGGGCTGTCTGAGGGCCACCCACCACAGGGAAGGATATAGTCACACCTTTCACACAGTGCTTGGCACCCAGGGCCTTGATGGCCTCTGCAGTCCCGGCATAAGGCCACTTGCCGCCTTCTTCCTGCTCATGGCCCACGGTGACCTCAACACCTCTGAGCACCTTGGCTGCAAGGACAGGTGCAATGCAGCACAAGCTGGAAGAGAGGTGGGTGCACATGGGCAGTGGGTGGGTGACCTGCAGCCCAGTACTTGCCACCCACTCCCTCAGGCAATGGGTGTCACAGCCCCGCATGGGCCAGGGGCAGTGCTTCGGCAGGCAGGTCCTTAGCTGCATGACCAGGAGCCAGTGAAGAGCAGGGAGAGCTGGCAAAGACTGTGACTGCATATGCCTGACGCAAAGAAGGGCACTAAGTGACTGCAGGAAGGACCTGCAGCCGCAGATGGGGGGCCGCAGGAGCTGGGGAGCTGCACCTTTTAGCTAGGTGTGCGCCCCTACTCTGCTCCAACAGACTCCAGGGAAGACTTCAATGGAGGGGGCTGAATGACCCTGCAGTGACAGGTGATGGGCCAGGAGGGCAAGCATGGTGGCCCGAGATGCTGCTCCACAGTTGTGCAACTTCTGGGCACACACACAGCAGCTTGGCCAGCACCTGGACCCAGACCCTTGATGCAGGCAAAGGCTGTGTCTGCACAGGTGGCCTGGGATTCAGGCTGGGCTGCTGAGTGGGGAGGGGCGGTCCCGGTGGGGACAGAGGCTGCAGGGAGGCTGAGGCCACAGGGATGGGCTGGGATGGAGCGGTGCTGAAGGCGAGAGAATCCTGCGCACCTCTCCAGGGGCAGAAGCCCCCTCCTCCTGTTCTGTCCACAGGACAAACGCTCAAGGAGCTGGCAGGCTCTAAAAGCTGACAGCACCTCATCTAAATGCAGCACACGGCAGGGCCCAGGCCCCAGGCTCTATGCCATAGCCCCTGCCCCCGCCCAGCCCACAACTGGACATACCCGATGGGCTTCCCAGCCCCGTGGAACTCCTTCAGGACCCGAGCCACGTCCTCATTCACTCTACAGTCCTTCCCGTCCACGGCGAAGGTGCTCCTGCCAGCAGAGAGGCCTGCCTCAGCCGCTGCCGCCCACCCCAGCACCTTCATATGACTCTGCTGACTCCCAGGGAACCTTTGGGCATGCCTGTGCGTGACCTTTCCAGTAACCGTGCTCACACACGGCTTTTTCTGCTTTTCACACAGCCTGCAGCAGAAGCAGCGGAGGGACACCACGGTGCCCTGTGGAGTCCTGGTGCAGGAGCCCTGAAATGAACACTTTCAGGAAAGGAAATGCTGCTGGCTGACAGGCGGCGAAAGTGCCAGTTTTATCAGCAATAAAGAAAAGACTTCAGGGTCCCACTGTTCTGCTCTCAGGTGTAAAGATCAAGAGCCGGGAGCAGGGAGGGGAGGCCTCTGTGCTGCCACGGGGTGCACAACCTCACAGAACTGTCTTGGCTACACGCATGCACACTTCCTGCCTGGAGCTCCACTTCCTGCGCTCCCCTCCTGCTCCAGTTCTGGCCTTCTGTCCTAGCACAACAGTCTCAGGTTTGTGCATGGGCCTGGAAACCCTAGAGTGAGACCCAACCTGTCCAGAGGTGGCCAGAGGGCCAAGTGTACCACACACACCAAGTCCCCCCAGCCTCCCACATGTACACACCAAGTACACCTCCAAATGCCACTAAGAATAATCAGGACAATGCTGGAAAGCAACCAAGTAGCCACCAGAAGGGACCAGCTTATTCCCTGGCAGGGTCCAAGAATAGCTGAGCAGTTCTCAGGCCAGCTCCATGCTGGACCCGCCCATCAGGAAAACCAGCACCAAAGGCAAAGTTCAGGCATTCCTGCCACACCCCACGGGGTGGCCATGAAGTGCACAGGGCTGCAGCATGGCTGGGAGGGCTGGGACAGAGGGCAGCCGGATGCCCATGCCAAGCCTCCCCTGTGCTCACACAAGCCCTGTCACCAGCTGCCTGACGCATGTACTAAGCCCCAGTTGCTCACCACTCCTGATGCCCTGGGCCTAACAGCACAGGCAGCTCAGAGGACCACTGGCTGGGCAATCACACTGGTTCAGCTGGGCCTGGCCTCTGGGGGCTGCCTCTCCCCTGGACAGGTTGGGGAGAATGGGAGCAGCCATCAGGGAGACAGTGGTGTCCCTCAGAGAAGACCACATGCTCAGACAGTGCTCATACTGAAACTCAGGCCCCCCGCCTGCATGTCTGAACATTAAGCAAACTGAACCACTGGCCACACAGGCAGCCATGGCCCCTACAAGGCTACCACCGGCCTCCGGTCTATTGGGCAAGGCACTGGGTCAGAAAAGCACCCGGGAGTGTAGCCAGTCCTTCCAGGAAACCCTGGTCCTGCTGGAAGTGAAAATCTGCCAATGTCCACCTCACGGAGTCCCAACAGGACAGCACAGCAGGAAATGAGGGAAAGGCGTGCGCTGTGCCTACCCTGGGCCTGAGTGCATGCAGTGGCAGTGGGACTGCTGGGTGTGGGGCCACTACACAGGCCAGAGTCTTGGGAAAGGGTCCTGATGTTGGTGGGCAGGGCGCCTAAGGCAGGAGTGACCTGCTACACCTTGAAGAGCAAAGCCACTCTGCCTGCTGCAGGGCAATGAGAAAATGGTCAACTTGCTGCTGACCACAGGGCAAAGGAGTTAAAGCAGCTGAATGGGACCAAGTCAGGTGGGGGTGGGGGCTGGGGAGTGGACAGGGCCACAGCAGCCAGGAGCAGGGCAGGGGAGGAGCCTAAGGGCATGAGGCTGGAGCTCAGGGGAAGTCCTGCTAGGGCCCCAACTTTGGGATGGAAGCAAAAGCAGTGCTTCCAGTTGGGGCTGAGGGGAAGCACTGCAGAGGCAGAGAGAGGGAGGCCAGGAGCCTGTGAAGAGGCCTTGCTGGCAGTAGAGCCTCCGGCTCCTCTCCAGCAGCTGGCCTCATGGCCCTTACCTGTCATTAGTGGGCACAGGTGATGGTTGATGGAGCTGACACCCACACCTGGCATGGAAAGCACCTGCTTTCCCAACCAGTGACAGCAAGGGGGGGTCAGTGGAGATCCCCCCAGGACCCCACAGTTCTGAGACAGGCTCCCACTGGAAGGTCAGTGGTGTGCAGGACTGGGGAAAGGTTCCTGCAGGGCTGGGACAAAGGAATCGGCTGGCACCACCTAAATTTTAATGAATGTCCGAGAAGAGAGCCATGAACTACAGAGACCGTGAGGAGGGCTCCAGCCCAGCAGCTTGCGGGAGCGACTACCAGTTCCCACATGCACGAGCCACTTCCCCCAGCAATAGCACAGCGACTGCGCCCTCTGGCTGGCCTCCACGAAAATCACCTAACGCAGAGGTGTCTCCTACTGAGACAGACACAGCGATTTCCCAGGAGCAGAGACCAGGAGGAGGGCTTAGCTGAGGGGCCTGCGCACCCCAGCAGCTGCCAGGAGCCAGGAGCAGGCAGAAGAGAAGGGGAAGGAAGGGCCAACACACACACACACACACACACACACACACACACACACACACACACAGCGAGGGCTTAGCTGAGGGGCCAGGAGCAGGCAGAAGAGAAGGGGAAGGGCCAACACACACACACACACACACACACACACACACGCACGCACGCACGCACGCACGCACGCACGCGCGCGCCAAGCCGGAGCTCCTTACGCACAGGTTTTTGGCTGCCCCGAAACCCCCGGGGAAAATGGCTGCGTCATGATTTGCTGCGCTGAGCTGGGCCAGGCTACTGATCTTGCCTCTGGCGATCCTTGCAGACTCAGTCAGAACGTTCCTGGTGGGGACACAGATGATCAAAGGATCAGGCATCCAAACAGACACATCCGTGCATAGCTCAGGCCCAGAGGAAGCATGCTCCCTCGTGGGGACCTAACACTTCCCAGGCAGAACACCTGAGGGAGGCCAGCACCCAAGGCTAGGCTGCACTCCTTCAGCCTGGCCCTCCAGTACTGACGCCCGTGTCCCTCCCGGCCCGCACCTGCTCTCCTTCTCAGAAGGCTGCCCTTGGGTGTGGTCAATCACGTGCATCTGAGGGATGTCGGGGGCAAAGATCTGGACCTCAGCTCCTCCACGGCTCAGGTGCACCAGGATCCTATGGTGGGAGAAGCCACGCAAACAGCGCTTCAAAACACGCCTGACCCGGACTGCCCAGGTCAGAGCTGTTACGAAAGCGGTTTCAACTGAGCAGGACATCCCTTGCTGAACACCTGCAGCTCCCTCTCACTGCCTGCTGGTGGCCAGGGCAGAATCACAAGAGCAGGCTGTGTGGACCACATGTCCCAACAGCCTCCTGGAACAACGAGGTACAAGGTAGGGGCATAGACAGATCTGCTCAGGTTGCCAGGCTTCTGCAGGCCAACCCCCTGCCTTTTCTAAAGGCCTGCACGACCCTCCTGCAGCTGCCCAAGGGGCCAGAGGAGAAACGCTCAGATGGCACTCTTGCGGCCCCTCATACAGGCGAGGAAACAGAGGCAGAAGGGCGGTGTCCCACCAGAGTTAACAGCCTGGCAGTCAGGATCCGGCCCTGGCTCCTCATGCCTGCAAGGTGCCCGGTCCAAACCCACAGAAGGAAGTGCATGCTGGTGCTGGGCCCCCAGTGCAGGCCCTGGGGCGCCCCGAGTCTGAAGCCATTACTCGGCAGAGCCAAAGCCTGGGCCTGCACTCCGTGGGCTGCTCTTCCCTGTGGCAATGAGTCCTCTCTCCTCAGCCCTGAGCCAGCTGAGGCTGGGGAGGTGCCAGGGTCGCCGCCATCCCCCCACAGGCCCTGTCTACCGAACCAGGACACGAACTCATCGGCACCAACGAAGGCCCCACAGCAAAAGTGATGGATGGAAATATGCTCCCGTGGGGAAGAAACCTTTGCTCAAGGCAGTAAGCATGGTCTTAACATCTGTACTGTTCATGCACAATGAGAAACGCAAAAGTGAGGTGTCCGGGGGTTGTGCACCAGGCCTTGGAGTACACACCTGAAACCCCCAAGTATTCGGGAGCCTGAGGCAGGAGGACTGAGCTTGAGGCCCGCTTAAACAACTTACAGACTTACCCTGTCTCAAAAAGGCTGTGGCTGCACCTCTGTGAAGTGGGGTTCAGTTCTCAGTACAGAACACACAAAACCAAACAGTAACTTAGCTGAACGGGGTTGAGCACAAGTATAATTCCAGTACTCTGGGAAGCTGAGGTGGGAGAATTCTAAATTTGTGCCATGGGCAACTAACAATTTATAGGCTGACCCTGTTTCAAAGTTCGGAAGAAAAAAAAGGCTGGGCTGTAGTAGCTGGGCTCAGCGCAAAGGCTGGGGTTCCAATCCCTTGCATCACAAAAAGCAGTCACTTTGCAGCTTTCTCTCACTTACGCCGAGGCCTCGTGGATTTCGGTCCCGTCATAGACGCCACAGCCGGACAGCACCTGCGGGAGGAGGGCGCTGACCATGGGTGGGGAGGAGCCGCGGGGATGGGGCAGTTCGTGGGGGAGAGGACTGCGCGGGGCGGGGGAAGGGCACCGGGGAGGGAATGGCACGGGCGGGGGAGGGGCAGCAGCGCGCACTCACCAGCGCCACACGGGCCCCGGGCCGCGACGCGGAGCCGTGCAGGGCCGCGCGCGGGGTGGACGCCCGCTGGTGGAGGGGCCGCAGGCGCCCGGGGAGCGGCGCGAGCGCGGAGGCTGCCGCCAGCCTCGGTACCACCAAGGCCCTGACAGCAGCCATAGCGCGCGGGGACAGCGCGGTCAAAGGGTCAGGAGCGCAGAGGCAGCAGAACAGAGATTGCGCCGTGGGCGGGGCCGCGCCTGCGCACTCTCGGGCAGGGGGGGGCTGCGCCTGCGCAGTGGCTCCGGCTGCCGTACTTTAACCCTTTGGCAGATTACTCCGAGTAACTGACCCACACCAATCCGTGTCCACACTGAAGTCCCGGGCCCCTGCTCCTTCCCCAAAGCGCGTGTTTACTCCGAGCTGGGGATCCATCCTTTCCCTGCACCCCAGTGCAGAACTGGGCCCCCAGTTGCTGGGAGCAATGTAGTCATTTGGGGTGCCAGGGAGACCACTCTTTCACGTTCTGGAGACAAGATGGGGATGAGGCTCGAGTCACTCAGCTGTCCAGAGGTGCAGGCACTGCATGGAGTTGAGGGGTGGGGATGTTATTCAGACAGAATCCCCTCTGTGGCTCCAACTGTGCATTTGAAATGCGGGTTCCAGGAGACACTGAGCCTGAGGGGCCACTGTGGCACAACCCAGCCTGGAACTCTCAGCCGCTGTAGAAGGCTGCAGGATCGCATGCACGAGGCAGGCTTGAGGCTGTTGGAGTGCCCGTCTAGCGTCTGAGCCCTGAAGATGCCTCTGCCCTGACCCTGATCACCCAGGCCCTGCATGATGCTTCTCACATCAGGATGCAAACACTTAATTACAAACACTTTTAATTGTTTACATTTAATCCTGTATTGCCTGAGTTCATCCCCAGGTCTCTGTATTAAAATAAAAATAACTCACAGGGTTTACAAGTCCACAAATGTGAGCCTCACAAAGGCCACACAGACAACTACCACCTGCAGATTTGGGGCCCACTGCACACAGGGTCTGCCCAGCTGGGTTTATGGGCTGTGCAGGTGGCTGCCTCCACATCTCAGTGTGCCCCCAGCCCTCGTGTCCAGGACACCAACACCACCAGTTCCTCTCCTCCCCTGTTGCCAGCTAAGTCAACATCATGTCCTCTCCCCTGTCCTCGGCTCCTCCAAGCAGGTGAAGGCTATCCTCATCCGACGTCTCGGTGTCCTCATCAGACATCTCGGCATCCTCTAGCCCTGGTGCTTCCCGGGTGCGCTTGGTGCCCCGCTGCCTGGACACTGCCAGGGCATACTGGATGCTGTAGCGATTCCAGTCACAGCTGTGGACACACGGCATCCGGTCAGTGCAAGTGCCCACTGCCCTCTACTCCCAAGGGCCTGGCCCTGCACCCATCCAGCAGGGAGCGGACATACTTGTGTCCCTCTTCCTGCCCAGATGATCTGCTTTCTCTCCCTGCCCTAGCCTGCAGCAGCCACCACCAGCCCGTGCTCCCAGCCAGGTTCCTCCACTACACAGGGCAGCCTCCGGGTCCATGACTTCCCCTCAGTCAGAGGATGATGCCCACTGTCACCCACAGAACCACCTGGCAAGGTGCAGCAGGAAGTCACACTCCTGCATGTGGGGCAACTGCTCTGTGCACACAACCTCTACTGCATCCACACACAGCCAGCACAGCCTGCAGGTCCGCCAAACTCACAGGGAGGAAGGGACCCCTGCACCTGGGAAGGCCTGGCACCCTAGGTCTCCTGGAGCAGGTCACACAGCAAGATCAAGCCCTGCCACCAAGCAAGGCGTCAGGGAGAAGGCATGCAGAGCAAGAGCCTGTGCTGGACTTACTCCAAAAACACAGGACTACATCTGAGCCTCTAGCACTTGGGATGCTGAGACAGGAGTAGACAAGGGCTGTCTAGGGTACCTAACAACCTCGAGAACAGCCTGCCCAACACAGCAGGGAAGGGGGAGACAAAGGGACAGGGCAGAGCACAGGCCTTTCAGAAGCCCAGTAAGGACTCTTGGCAACGGCCTTTGGACAGTGGGAAGCACAAGGCCTTCAAAGGGACAAGCTACGTGGTCCTCACTGTATAGGTCCTGCCCAGGGGAGCAGTGTTCCAGGGATAGAAAGCAGAACCACCAGGGAGCCATCTGGTGTGTGTGCTGGCTGGGTGTCCTTGAAGAGGCCAGAACCCGGCAGGCACTGTCCCCAGACCCTCCTGTGCTGTCATCACCCTGCTCTGCTGGGCACACCAACGAGCAGTGGCCATACCCCAGTAGTCAGCTGCTGTGGTATTGCCTGGACAGAACTGGTCACCGCCCCACCAAGCAGAGCACACTGGGACACAGGGAGCAAGCCCCAGCATGGAACGTGGGACGGCGCGACAAGCTTCCACCCTCTGCCAGCCCCACACACGCACAGCTTGGCCACGTCATCCAGGTGCCGCTGGATGCCCTTCTGCAGGAACTGGACCGTCGGCAGCAGCTGCCCTGCCCTGGAAGAGAGACACGGCTGAGTGGGACCTGCGGTTCACAGCCCACACCAGGCCTCACAGCCTGGAACTTCGAGGCAGCCAGGACTGCAGCACCACACCTGGACTTCAGCTTTGGCCCGTGCAGCATGAGCAGCTTCTGTGTCCAGATGAGGTAGAACTCAAGGTGCCGAGAGACCTCAAAGGAAGAGGCCAAGAACTCCAGCAGCTTCTCCACATATAGCTCGGGCAGAGATGCACTGATGACTTCGACTGCCGAGGGGAGCAAAGACATGCTTACTCCGCAGAGAAGCCACGCCCGGGGCCAGTGCTGCCCTCCTACCTGCGGGGGAATGGGTGCTCACTCTCCGCCCAGGGCACGGCTTCCAGCGCCTCCTGTATCAGCGTCCTCTCATTGAGCCGGAAGGCCATGAGGATGGCACGGGTGAACTCCTGCTGCCGCAGGGCCTCACGGACCCGCCCAGGGGTGATGCTGGTGTCCAGCTCATAAGGGTCAAAGAGCATTTGGGCGTCCAGGGAGAAGATGAGGAGCCCCTCTGTGCTGGTGGCCGCCCAGCAGCGCCCTGGAGCGAGCAGAGAAACAGCACCAAGATCTAAATTCATAGCATCCTCCACTTCCTTAAAAGGTACCCTCCAAAGGTCAAGCTCCAGGGCAACCGCACACCCTCCCTGGGGAAGGAACGACATGGACATCATGCGTCCTTCTGCCAGCACAGGACCCACCACATCCTAGGCTCTACAGGTGCCACATGGGCCTTGGCAATTCCTCAGGCCACCACCATGACTGGGATGTGGTCACAGGGAAAGCGTGGGAATACACAGAAGTGGCTGTGTCTCAATCAAACCCAAGCTGCAGGATCAGGAGGGTGCAGAGCCGCAGGCCCTGGGTGTGTGGATTCGCGCTTACAAGATGCAGTGACATGATTGCTTGCAAGCCACTCCCGCCTCACTTTCCACCCCACACTGCTGCTGCTCAGCCCTGGGGACCACGTGCCCCACGGTGCCTGTGCACACTGGGCAGAACCGTGCATGGTTGAGGGCACAAATGGGTGGGAAGGACAGCAATAGCAAGGTGTTGGGGGCTGCCTTGAGGCTGGCCTGGGAGGAGTGGGCCTCATCTGCCCCAGCTGTCCACCATCAGGGACAAGGGCAACCACATAGCCCTTGGGTCCACGTAGCTCTGGGTCCCATTCCCACCACAGGGCACAGTGCTATCTAGGGCCCACCAGCTGCTCTGTGACCAGCCCTGTCCCCAAACTGACACCTTGATGCTGTCAGCACCAGTGCTGTGATGCAGGGCTCACCAGTGGGAGAGAAGCGCAGGGAAGTGACCCTGATTTCAGGCTTGAAGTGGCGAGAACTCATGTCACCTGGAAAGAAAACGGGCTACACTCTCTGCCCCTGCCAGTCCAGGGCTGTGCCTGCTGTTCCCCCCAGCACCCCATCAGGAGGGTCGACCTGTGACCCAGGTGACTCGAGTTTCCAGAACACTGGGGAGGCATGGGCTCCTGGGGCCCCTCTGTTCCTCCGTGCCCAATGCAGCAAAGGGACACTTGCTTCTGGAGCAAATGATGGGGCCCTCTGGGCACCACTGCTGGGTCTTCTGAAGGCACCCAGCAGACAGGCTTTGGGGAGCAGCTACCCACTCCGCACATTGCAGCCCAAGCAAGGACAACAACAACCACAGGAAAGCAGCTGAGGCAGGAGGCGGAAGGGACTTCTGCTCACCTTTCCTGACTCCTGGCAGCGGAATGGCAATCCCGTCCTCCTCCCCGGTGTCCTGGTCAATGAGAGCCAGGTTGCCAAACTCTGTCATCTTTCTTCGGTTCAGGAACTCCTAATGGACAGCACAGGCCATGGGCACGTGGCCCTCACGGGGATAGAGACAGAGAGGTGTTGTGACCTGACCTTGGAACCTTCCCAGTGCTTGTAGGTAGGGCGGGGGTTAGCAGCATCACCACCACCATCACAGAGATGGAGCTCTGGTCCCTATGACATCCACTCAGCACCCAAGAGCAGCTGTCCCTGGGGAAATTGCCAAGGGCATGCACTTTGCACCAGAGAGTACAGGAGTGGGGAGCTCTGGGCACACAGGAAGGTGGGCCCGTTCCTGGGCTGAGTGGGAGGACTCAGCTCCAAATGCTTGCTCATAGGCCCTGCTTTCGGAAAAGAGAGCAAACCCTCTAGGCCAGCACCAGCACAGGTGGAACAGTGGCTGTGTGTGTCTTTTCGCTCCATCAGGGCTTAGGCACTCCCTGTCCCAGACCCTGCCCAGGGTGTCCAAGCCCTGGTGTAGGCCAGCTCTGAGCTCCCAGCCCCCAGCCCCCAACGTGGCTGTAGCCCTAGCCCACGCACTGACAGGATATTTCACACCCGCCAGCCACCCAGCCCTGCTGCTCACCTCCATGGCGTCCAAAGAGAGGTTGCAGGAAAGCTCGAATCTCTTCATCAGGATCTGCTCGCGGACGTGATAGAGACACACAAACTTGGACATGCCCCCCGCCAAGACGCTCTGGCCGTCCGCTGAGTAGCACAGTGTGGTGAAGGCCCTAGGATGGGGGGCAGAGGACACAGCCTCAGAGGAGCACTGAGGGCTTCTATGGTGTGACTCATTCCAAGCCAGCCTGAGGATACTCCCCTCCGAGGCCATCGCAGCCCCTGCTGCTGTCAGTGCCTGTCACAGCGCACTGCTCCTGAGCAGGGTCTGCCCTGTAGCAACTGATGCAGCCCTCTGCAGCTTGCGGAAATGGTCAGGTCCTGCTGCCTGTGAGCCAGGACTCTCGACAGTGACTTTGGACCAGCACTGTACCTCAGATGGGACACCAAGACCATGGAGGACAGAACAAAGAATCAACCAGATGCCCTCCAAACCTAAAACTCGTATCAAGAACACCCCAAGTGGAAAGACTGCTCTCCTAGCATGGGAGAGAATTGGTATGTCTCCCCCAGTACATGTCTCCACAGGCCCACCAGGAAATGGGCAGGAGGCCAACAGCATCCACCCAGAAGCTCACACAGCCAGTGAGCACAGAGGCAGCCGACCTTTAGCCACTGGATGTAAACTTGGCCACCAGACGGGTCAAGGAGGAGGCAGGGGTGAAGGGGGCACCTCCAGAGACACCAACAGTGCCATCGTTACCTGCAGTGAACCCGGCCACGGTGCACTGGTGAGCCCAAACATGGTATGCCCTGCTAACCCACCAGAGACCCCAAGGAGGGGTCCCCAAGGAGGGGCTCTGCTGCTGAACAGGCTCCACGGGCCAGGCCCAGACCCAGCATCGCCCATGGGCACATGCATGGGCAGCCACCTGTCACAGCCCACTGTGCCCACACCCAGAGCAGAGCCGGCTGAGGGGCAGGCTGGGTGCAGCATCCCTCCCGGTAGCGCAAGCGTGGCCGGCTGCTCTGTGCCTCTGTTTCCACATCAGGCTGCTGATGTTTACAGTGACCCAGGCCTGGAACTGGAGACCTGGGCACAAGGCTGTGCCCACTTCATCCAGCAAAACTTAATCTGGGCCTGCGGGGCTGGGATCTCAAGACACAGGCTATCTGCACCCACACGAGCAACGGACAATACTAGAGTAGTAGTGGGGTCACAGGTCTGAGAATAGGAGGGTGAGGAAGTCCACGGTCCCACACCCCAGTGCCAGCTGGTTGTGGCCACTCACTTGCCCTTGGCTGAGTGCTTAGCCGTGATCTTGTCCAGCTCCTTCCGGCCTGACTTGAGGTCGTGCCTGCCCTCGATGGAGCCCGTCTGCATGGCATTCTCAGGGTCCCAGAAGGTGATCTGTGAGTTCAGCGTAGCCACAGCCAGCTCCGCGCCATCAGGCCGGAAGGTCACAGCCAGAGCTAGGGAAAACCATCTCAGGCTCGAGGAAGATCCTGGACATGCCAGAAGCCAGGAAGCAGCCTCTGCAACTACTCTGGTGGGCAAGCCTGCTGTCCGCCCCAGCTGGGCACAGGGCACAATCCAATACCTTGGTAGATGAGGCCTGGAGGGCATGACCCATCCACACGATGCCAGGTTTGGACACAGGGCCTCATTCCAGGATAAGGCTATCCCAGGGCACTTGGGCAGTTGATAGTGCGGAGGGCACAGGCAACAGGGGTTTCAGAGAGATAACCCCTGGACTGGTTGTAGGGGCTTGAGAAAAGGGGCAGCCAGGGCTCTGAGAGCTGCCTCATCCTTCTGGGACGCAACCTAGGCAGAGCACTGCCACTTGGGCAACCCAGGAGAACTATGGGAAGCAGCCCAGTGCAGCGTGACTACCAGGACACTCGGCTTGGGAGGGACACCATTCCCAGCCTGCACTGGGCTCAAGACAAGCACATGGTGGGGAGGGACAGCAGGTCCTGGCAGGGGCACGTGAGGTCGGCTCACCGTCGGAAGTGAGGGTCAGCGTCTCCTTAGTCCTCCAGCTGTCAAACATGTCCCACAGCCGCACTGTCTTATCCCAGGAGGCGCTGGCCAGAATGGACTTCATTGGGTTAAAACATAGACCACTGATGGGGCCCTCATGACCAGACAAGACCTGTGGTGGCAGAGAGACTGGGAGGTGAGGGGAACAAGTGGCTGCCATGGCCCTGGCCAGTCCTGTTGTGCTGCTCTACACCCTGCTTCGCCCACCTCCCCACAGTCTGTAGGCAGCAGGGGAGCCACTTCTAGGCACCCAACCCTGCAGGGGATGGAGGCAGGATGCTGGCCCTTACGTCGAGGAGCCTGCCCGTCTGCATGGACCACACAAAGATCTCAAATGAGTCCTGGGCACCCGCAGAGACAATTTCCCCACTGGAGTCAACGGCCACGCAGGAGAACTGGGTGGGACGGGGAGAGGTGAAGGTCCGGAAGTTCCGGTACCTGCCGGGAAAGCCAGGTCCAGGTCAGCAGCCCACATGGGGTCTCCAGCCTCACTAGACCCCCCAGCCTGAGCCCCTGCCCTCAGAGTAAGGCCTCACCTGTGAAGGTCAAAGGCTCGTACAGTGCCGTCCAGGGACGAGGTGACAATGACATACCCGGTGGCAGTGAAAGTCACACCAGTGACCCCGCTTGAGTGCTCCGTGAAAGTAATGAAGCAGAAGCCACTGAGGGTGTTCCACACCTTGACCTGTGGGGGCACAGGAACTGGTGGGCACAGCCACCTAGTGCGCACCCTCGTGAGAGGACCCGAGCAGGTGGTGGTGGGCGATGGAGCGGAGGGTGAAGGGCATCTGCTTATGCAGAAAGGGTGACATGTGGAACCAAGTCCTCTCTGCTCAAAGCCGCTCAACGGTGAACCCTCTCCAGGAGCTGGAGAAATAGGCTGAGCCCCACCTGCTAGGATGACCTGATCCCACTCAGTGCCCACCTTGCCATCATCCCCGCCGGTGACAATGTACTGCCCATCTGGGGAATAAGCCAGTGACACCATGCTGTTGAAGTGGCCCTGCTGCTTGAGCACGTAGGACTCGCTCTGCCACTCCCACACCAGCAGCTGGCCCAGGCCTGCAGACACAGGGTGGCTGGCACACTGCCCTGGCCCAGCCCAAGGCAGAGAGGGTCCCCCAAGTCCTTGACTGATTCTGCCATCTGTGTCACCCGTTGCTAAGGCTGAGGAGGGTCAGGCAAAGTGCAGCACTGCCAGGCAGGGGACAGGGCACAGGCCAGGTCCAGGACACCTGGGAGAGTCCCAAACCTGCTGTACTAGCTGAAGGAACTCCAAGGCTGCCCTGCAGCCCCTCACTGCTGGGCCTCAAGGTCCCCTGGCTCTCACCCTGCTCCACGGTGACAGCTGGGCCAGAAAACAAACCTGAGCAGCCAAAGGCGATCCAGTCCCCGGAGCTGTTAATGGCAACTGAGGAGATCCTCTGGTCGGAGATGCTGAGGAAATTGTGGTGGTGAGCAGGGGCGTCCAGCCCATCCAGCCATCCCGTCCCTCCCACAGCGTGCACCCCGACTTTCCCTGTATTCCACACAGAAGGTCAAAGGAAAAGATGACAAAAAATAAAAACGCTGGTAAGCACAGAGGTGCGTGCCTGTCACCTCCACTACACGGACACTGCGGCAGGAGGACCTCATCACAGAAGTCAGCCAGGGCCACAGTGAGACCTTCTCCACACAAACACCTGAAAGGGCTATGGATGGAGCTAGGCCCCTAGTTCAACCTCTGGGGCCACAGTAAGAGAAAAAACAGTACCACAATCCAGCTCAGGGGCTTTCCACCCTGTGTGGGGTACAGGATGCGGCATGTGGGCACCAAGCCGGGGCCCAGGGCTCACCTCAGGGAGTGAATCAGGTTGAACTCCGGGAGCTCGTGAAGGTGAAAGATGCCAGATGCAAAGCCCGTAACCAGGAGGTGCACCTTCTTGTGATAGGCTGCGGCAGTCAGGTTGTTGAAGTCTCCTTCCTTGTTGAAGAAGTATCTGAATAGATAAGCGGGGGTGGAGGCATGGGCTACGGACCCCAGCCCCTTGCCAGGGTTGCATCTCGGCCCCACCCTGGAGACCTACTTGGCCAGCCTCGAGTACTTCACTTTCCCCTTCCTCTCTTCTTCAGTGGGCATGGCCTTCCCTTGGACAGTGGTCTCCCTCTCACCCGCCTCCTCCAACTCTTCTTCCTCCTGATCTTTCTGCAGCAGGTCCGCCCTCCAGCCAGTGGGGGCCTTCAGCCGCAGGCCCTCAGGCGGGGTGTCACACTGCCACACGCAAAGGGCTCCATCTTGGCTAATGGAGTACAGCTACAGGGACGCACAGGGCAGGCACAGGTCACCCACCCCACCTTCAGGCCAACACCCCCCAGGCCAGACCCACTAATGTACCCCTGAACCGGCTCAGGAAGAAGGAACCTGCTCAGGCACTCAGCCGTCCCCGGGTCACCCTTGGGCTAGGAGTCCTGAACAGGACGTACATCCAGGCTGCTGGACTCAAAGAAACAGGCCACGATGGCATCCTTGTGCCCGCCCAGTGCGTAGTAGATGAGGTTGTCCCAGCGCTCAGCTCCAAACACCCAGGTGGACATGTCCTTGCTCCCAACCACAAAACATCTGGAACACAGGGACACAGCTGCCATGTGGTGGCTGTGGCCATGCAGCCTCATTGGCTAGTCCAAGCAGGCAGTGCAGGAACCACTGCTGTGACCATCACAGGCCATCCAGAGACAGAGCCAGCGCCTCAGGAGCTCCAGGGCCAGCCTTGGATCCCAACCCAAGCGGGTTCTGTGAACAATGCCAGCAGGCTCACGTGTGGGACACAGTGCCATGCAGTAAGGCAGGACAGCTCTGAGAGGACAGACACACAGCCTGGGTGGTGCAGGGACAGCACTGGTCCCTTGAGCACCCACAGCTGCTCCCTACACAGCCAGACACAGAGTAGAAGAAAAAAAGCCAGCAGCTCCACAGGCGTCTCAGGATAGGGACAGTCACAGGTGGTCAGGGATGGTGGCTCCCTAGCCTGGTCCACAGGAAGCTCACGGGACTAAGGGGCCCACTCTCCAGGGAGCCAGCACTGAGCCTTACCTAGAGTCATCTGTCCAGTCGATGCACGTGGTCTCGTCATACGGCCCAAAGTAGGTTTTGTCCAGGACAAAAGCATTGAATTCTCGCTTTTTCCCAGGAGCGTGATACATCTGTGCGATGTGGCCCTTCGTGACGACAAACTTCCTGCAGCAGAAGGTGGGACACAGGGGACAGGATCACCGCAGGACCGCCCCAATGCAGGACACAGACATGATGGGAAGAGGCCAGGGCAGACACAGGCTGGCCACACGCCCAGGTGCCCACCCAAGGCCCAATAGGACGCTTGGAAGTCATCCTGACTGGGGCTGCTCTCACCTGCCATCCGGGGAGAAGGAAATGCTGTGCACGGAGCCCTTGAAGTGGAAATGGTGCAGCACAGACCTGCAGACCAAACTGACCAGCAGCGCAGCGCCCCCTGCAAGAGGCCAGCGAGTGACTTCGAGGCCACCAAAGGAGCCCACAGCTATGCACAAGGTCATCTCAGAGCTCACATGGTTCAAACACAGAAAGGAGCTGCCCAGGCCCACTCTTGGGACCCTGACATGTGGGCCTGAGGGCCTATCAGCCCACCCAAGCACCCCATCCAAGCCCCACTGGACCTGGACACAGAGACAATAGGGAAGAGCCATCTCAGCCCATGCTGCACTGGAAGGCCCTGTTCCTCGCCTTCCGCTGCCTCCACACCCCATCCTTCTTTTCTCAGCCCTACCCACACCGAGGATGATAGAGCGTCATCACCTTCATCAACGATGATCGCCAGCCGGCCATCAGGGGACAGCCCCACGCACTTCACGTTAAACCTCGTGGCCAGGGGCAGAGTGTCAGATTTGTTGCTGAGAGAAAGAACCACAGTGTACCACAGGTTTTATGTCACTAGACCAGGGGGACAGGGCTTGCCTCCTCCCAGCAGCCTACCCTCCCACACAGTTCCCTCAGGTGCCACGCCTGGCCTGTGCCACTGGACCCTGTGTGCCAGAGTTCATAGGCAGATGAAGGGGAAATGACAAAAACCCTGGCAGAAGACTGGAGAGACCCACTGACCACCTCAGAGGTGAGAGCACTGTGCTCCATACAAAGTCAGGAAACCAGATACCAGCTCCACGCCCAGCACACGGCACTGAGCATAGCAACATACACATAATGCTGGGTTTTCAGAGAAATGGGAAAACACACAGAGCAATGAGGTCCACCTCTATATGTGGTCTCTGGTTCTAGATTTAGTACCATATTTTCTGAGTCTCCCTCAGCCAGCACTTTCCCATCCCTCTAGGCAGCCCGCACTAGGTGCCACTGGAACAAGATGGGAGCAGTCACCCTATGGCACACCCTGGACATGGCCTGTAGCAGAGCATCTCCCCCCCCCCCCCCCCGCCAACCCATCTCACAGATGAGTAAACAGACCAGGGCTACCCGACTGGAGCTACGGAGCAAGAGAAAAGAACCCAGAAGCCCTCAAACAAAGCAATGTTGCCCAGGCTGCAAGATGGGCCCATGCCTCCCTAGGAACTATCGAGACAAGAAGGGAACTATGCATTTCTTCAGAACAAACACAGCTAAATCTGAGCACCAAAACCAACCTCAGGCTATCGAGTACCCATCTAACCCAGGAGACCAAACGCCATTGGGGCACCCAAGTGAGCAGGGCCGCAAGGGGCCTCACAGCTGGAGAGATGCTAATCTCCCACAGGTGAAGCAGGTGACACATGACTTTAACCTTTAAGGGTGATACCACGGAGGGCCAGCTGAGACACCAGAAGAAGGAAGTGTCGGGCAGAAAGTCTTACTGCTAACCCACAACACTGCCAGATCCTTTAGCCTCGGGGCTACCTTAATCAGTGTCCGTCCCATAAAAAAGCAGGTAAGGGGACACTATCAGCCTCCACGTGCAGGCCAGCCACGAATGCCACATTTCAGCATACTTACTTCTTAAGATCAAACACAGTGACTCTGTTCCCCACAGGGCTGATGACTGAGTTTCCATCACAGGTGAAATTTAAGTTTCCACGTCGATAAACCGTACCCAGCAAATTCGAGAACTGGAAAAAAATTACCTGTCATAATACAAACCCAACAGTCTCTATTCCCTGGGAAGGGCAAAGTGAGGCCCTTGGACACACAGGGCACCCAGGGCCCAGAGGCTGGGTCCCTGCTCATCCCTGAGGATACTTCTCTGGCAGGAACCCAGGATGGCCACTGAGGCACCAGCCAGGCAAAGGGAACGAGACCCATGTCTCCTCAGTGAAAAACCACATCATGGGCCAGGGCCCAGGACGGTCCCCAATGCTGACACCCTATATGCCTGCTCACCACACAGGGCATGTGTCACACAGTGGTACCAGGGAGTTCCACTGTACCTCCTCTTATTCTAATCTACCCTACCGGAAAGTCACACAAGCAGGCTCTGAACCAGTCAGCCACTTACAGGCGACAAGGAGGGTGTTTAAAAGGCTATGGGCACTGAAACCTGGGGGATGAGCAGCCAGCAGAGCCAGCATCTGGAGTCCTAGGTGGCCCGCGGGTGAGGACTCCAAAACTGTCCCTGGGTTCTGAGCAGAGGTGTCCCACCACCCAAGACGCATTCCGGTCGCCTTGTAACGGCTGGAAGCAGCGCGTTCAGGGGCAGCAGTGGACTTAGTTTGGTTGAGCGAGTGAGACAGGATGGGTCCAACGGCAGGGCTGAGGTGCAGCCCTGGAGGCGCGCAGGGAAGGAGCTGGGCCCCCAGGGAGAACGTGTCCAGCGGATCGGTCTGGGAGCCAGCCCTGCCGCGGTCCACTCCAACAGCCACAGGTCACGCGCCCCCAGGGATGCCCAGGTGAGTTCGGCGCTGCCCGTCCCACTCGCCGTCCCCTCCCTGCACTTTCGGCTCGCAAACCGACAGCACACCCACAGTTCACCGGGCCGGGGACAAGGATCACAGCGCGGCTGCCCCGAGCTGTGCCGGCGGCGCCCTCCCGGAGACCTGCGGCAACTCGCCTCGCGCCGGCCTCCCCACGCAGCCCCGCGCGCCCGCGCTCACCCGGTACGCGAACTTCATGACACAGCCGCACGTGTACACCGCGGCCAAAGCGACTTCCGGGACGGGCCGTCTTCCGACACGCACTTCCGGGGCGGAACCACGGGAGCGGAGACGGAAACCAGTCTCGACCTCAACACAGCTTTCCCCGCCCCTTCGCGCGTGCCCGCCTGCCTGGGGTCTGCCGCGCTGCCCGCCTGGGGAAGAGTGCGACGGCATTTGGGGCGGTGGCCGCCGACCCCGGGCCCAGGAAGGGGCAGGCCCCAGAGCTAAGGGAAGAACCGAGATTTCCTGGTCACCAAAGCGCGCAAGAAGGAAGCCTGGAGCTCGCCCTCCGTTCCGCAGAGTGCTGCGTAGGAAAGGTGTGAAAACCCTCCGTGCTTTCCAGTACAGACCCAGGAACAGGGCTGAACTCCGCGCACGGTGTCACCGCGAAAGAATCAGGTTCCAGACAGCAGTTTCTTCTTAAAATGTGTATTTTTAGAATTTTAATGTTTACAGCTTAAATAATCTTCATACAGTCATTTTAGTCGTGATTTTATTGTTATATTACAGAAGTATGAAAAATGACTTTCCATAGTAAACCATGAAAATGGAGTTAACACCTTCAGCATCAGAGGCAACCAACCGGTCACCTCCACAGTCACAGAAGCCCTGCACGTTACACGGTAAGGAGGCTGGTGGGTCTTAGGCTAGACATAGCGGGTGAGGAGATTTATAGAAAGGGACATGCCCGTGAAAAGTAAAATTCAAAGATCATTTCAGATTTAAAGAGCCCAGCTGAAAGTAAAACACAGACCAGCCTGTTTCGTTCTTTTATAAAAAGCCACACCACTTTTCATCTCAGATCCAAACCTAGTGTTTGTTAAAATTTAACCTTATTTTAAATGCTAAATAAAAAGTGAATAGAAGCTGTTGTGTCTTCTCCTTACTTTTTATGAGACACCCACTCACTATGGACGCCTAAAATTAACAGGTTCTCATTTTCAAACAGTCTAGCTCCACCTTAGAACCACAGAGTTACAATCTTTCCAATCATAGGTGACCCCATGAAATTCACAAAAATTGTAACTCACCTTTTCCATTGTGTGTGTTTAGGTGTTCTGCGGGCTCCCTGTAGAAGAGCGGCTCCTGCTTTGCCTTTGATGCACACATTTTGTACTTGGTCTCTCACCTGTCCGTCAGGGGCCACACCTGAACCTGCCATCACATGCAGAACCTCACGAAAAACCCAGTGCCAACCTCTACTTTTAGGACCATGAAGAAAGAAAGAACTTTTAAGTTTTTAGTGACATTCTTTTGTCTTAAGGAAAACAAGGCAGAAGCATTATCTTAGTTTGCCAAAGCTAGGCTGGGGGAAGGGATCTGTGATAGTTCTGATTTCACTGAGTTTCCAGATAAGGAACACCGCTGACATTTTTAATTCCCCCCTCATTTTCTTACTTTAAATATATATAGTAAGAAAATCTTAATCCTGAGAGAGCTCAGATACCAGAAACCCAGGGAACAGTGAAGGAAGCCCTGGGTTCCGCACCATCTCATCCCAGAGGTGAGAAGGTCACTGCTATGGTGAGGATGGGACTCCCCACAGGGCCAGACGCCAGAGCTCTCTGCTCACAGGACTCTGGCAGGCCTGCGAGGCAAGCGGTGACCCTTAGAGCGGACACCTGACTTCGGAGACCCAAGACTTAATCACTGAGTCTCAAGCTCTAAGTTGCCTAACCAGTTGGACCACATTTATTAGTTATAAATCGCATAAAGGAAGATACATTTAAATGGATGGGTATTTTTCTTCCTTACACGTTTCTCCAGTTTTTAGAAATGAAAAATCATGGGGGGAAATCATACCACCTTTATTTATCAAATGAGGGAAAGGCCAACACAGAAAATACTGACAGGACTGCTTGGGCACCTGGGCGGCACCCCCTGGCACACACACCTGGGTGACTTCCCAAGCCCACCCCTGCTGGACCCTGATGCATCTGCTGGCATTCATCTGGTCAGGTTCTGTTCCAAGCACATTATGTCGGTGAATTCAGAGGACTCTATTCATATGTACAAAAATACAATTTGCTTTGGAGAGCTGGAAAAGGGTTAATACGTACAACACTTATTTACAAGCTGCGACTTTCACACCAATAAAAACACATTTATTTTGTCCTTGATTTTTTGGTGCAACTTATACATAAACATTACATCAGTTAGTCTGTACTTTTAAAAATAATAAATCAACCATATGTACAATTAAATTTACAACCAAAAGTGAAGTAGCCTGTTGGTACGGTATGACTGCAGCCAAGTGGACCAGCAGAGGTTACTCCGGGCCAAGTCCTCCCCATCCCTCTCCACGCAGAGCATCAGCCAAGACTTAGGTGCAAAAGGAAGATGTGACTATACAGCTCCAATTACATGAACTGACTTAAAGATGAGAGAAAAGAAAACATCTTAACCCTACATATAAAATGACAATTAAAATAAATATATATTTAATTCCAAGGGCATGTGATAATCCACACTGGGGAACACGGGCCAGGAACATGGACACCTACACTACTGCAGCCCACACTGCTCCTCTTGCCCTGGCCTAGGCCTCATGTACCTTTAACACGGCTCTGGCCTGTGGCTCCCCTGGCCTGCTGACTGGGATCCAAAGCACAGAGGGGTTATATTCCCCCCAAGCCATGGGCACCCTACCTGCCGGCCCTAAAGGGGTTACCAGAGGAAAGCAAAGCAAGGCTTGTAATCAGAAGACCCCCAAGTGCACTCTGTCGGCCCAGAAGTTGGGCAGCCATCTGAAGAGGGGAGACGGGCATCACAGGAAGCCAGCGAGGCCTACTGAGCACCGGCCAGGACCAGCACATGGGGCTGTGAGGGGGCCCCAGGTAAGGGTCCCATAGCAATGAATATGGAGTGATGGCAGGGCTGCGGCATACACAGTCAGACATAAGCACAGGGACAGGGAAGAAAAGAACACAGGTCCACATCAGACAAGACGAGGGGATGCTCTACCTCCGCTGACCGGCTGCACAGTGCCGTACCTCCGTACCTCTGTGGCCGAGCAGGGCCACTGGTCTGGTCAGAGCTAGCATGTTACAAGAGAGAACAATCCAGCCACAGTCCCTAAAGTGCAATTGCAGCAGTCTGAGGTGCAGACGACCACAGCGCTGCTGTCATGTCACGCTGACTTCTAGGACGTGGTCGTCTTGGCTGGGGATGACCAGGACCTGCGTGCCCATGCTGGAGTTGAAGACCTGGCCAGTGGGGAGCGCCTGCAGCCTGGGCATGGGCAGGCCCTTGTGCTCTCCGCTGCTGGCCGAGTACACACTGCCTCTACTCCGCATGCTGCTGCAGTCCAGCTGGTCGTCCGGGTGCTTGTCAACGGACAGGCTGTCATTTTCAATCCAGCTATCTGCGGACACACAGGAAGTGAGAACAAGCCCTGGTGCAGCATTCCTGTTAGCCCCAGGGAACCTCTGAGAAGTCATCACTCATAGCTGCCTGTACAGGGACCCCCCCACAGAGATGCAGCCCTCGGGCTGGGTGCTGAGATGCAATAGCAGGCTAGACTTCCGGTTAGCCTACCTGCAGTGAACAATGCTCACGTCTGCCTGCACAGCATGAGCCTGTTCCTAGGATGTGAAGCCATCACCTCCTCCAGCCCTGATTCGCCCCCAGCCCCCGACTCGCGTGCCTCTGCCATAGGGAGCACTCTACTGTTGTGATGGAGCTAAAGCAGCACATGTGATAAGCTGTCCTTGGGACTGGAATTCTGACCCCTGGGCCTGGCAACATGCGGTCTGATGTCTCGGTCCCTTAGCCCCCACTCCATGGGGAGTGACCAGCACCACTGTGCCCTCTGCTACCTGCATTCTGTAGACCTCATGGTGAACGTTTCCCAATCCCAACATGCCCAGTGCTGTGCATGCCTGCAGCGTGAGCTCTGTCATAATCAGGTATGGGGGAGAAGACTCTGCCCACCCCAAGACGGAGAGAAGCGCCTGGCCACATTCTGGGAGGTGTGGCTGGACAGGACTGCTGCCCAGTCAGGCTCAATAGACACAGGGTGCCTCCAGCCTGGGCCGGGCAGTCTCCTGCAGTGTCCTTACCAGCATCCAGCTGGGAGGAGTGCGCGGAGTGGTGCGGGAGGTACTTAAACAGCCGGACGTCGGGCAGCGGCAGGTAGCCCGCAAAGAGAGGCATCACCTCCATGTGCACTCTGTGAGTGGCCTGGGCAGCCACAGGCATGGAGATGACGCCACAGCTCTTGCCACACACTGCCCAGTTGCTGCTGTTGTCGACCACTGAAAGAGGAGCAGAGGCTGTTCAGGGCTCAGCCAGGGGGAGGAGCACTGTCACCTGCAAGGACCACCAGGCAGGGAACCAACGTTTGCCCAGTATGACTACACCATCACACAGAACACACACGTCTCACCAAGTGTGTGTCCTGTCGGTCAGCACGCAGTGGGTTCTGCTTACACCGGACCACACTGGAGAACCAAGGGAACCACTTTTCCCTTGCAGTAATGAAGCATGGTTCCATTAGGCAGTCAGCAGTACAGGGCAGCACCAATGCTCTGCACCCCAACCAGACCTTTGGGACAGCAGCTGTGGTTGAGGTGGGCACCACAAGCTTGCAGGGCTACCTCCCAGGACTCTGTAGTCTCAACATATGCAGCTGTCAACACTGAAGTCAGTACTTCCAAGCCAGCCTGTCACCAGCTCTGGGGTGCTCACACCCCACCACACACTTACCAAGGCCAGCTGGGGACAGGAGTGAGAAGGACCGCCTTGCCTCAAGCAGCAACGAACAGCAAGGCAGACACCAGTGGCTGCCCCAGCAGGACTGAGCAGAGCCAAGAACAGCTTGGAGCAGGTGCAGGGGTGTGAGGACAGGGCGGCCTCAGAAGGGCAGAGGCCCAGTGCATGGGGGGGGAGGGGGGCGCGCTGCACTGCAGAGGTAAGCAAGCTGCACAGCCCTGAGCTTGTCGTGATTCCTCTACGCTCTCACAGCAAAGAGACTGCCACCGACCCAGGAATGTCCTTTGCAAAGCAGTCACAGTAGCCAACTGTGTGTGGGGAACAGAGATGACTCTCCTGACTCTCCTTGGAAAGAAGAGCTACTGTCTCCATTCTGGATAAACTTGGCCCTATCACCATGTATTGATGTATACAGAGCTGGCAAGGCTACTTCTTTGGCCTTTCAATTGGCTTTAAGCAATGGAAATTAGGCTGGCTGAGGAGCTGCTATGTAATCTCTGATGCAAAGTGACAGGTCAGTGTGCCCCACCAAGTGACTCCTCAAATACATGGTTGAGCCTGGTGGGATGGAGAGCCATGCTCCATGGGGTCAGCTAGGACTACGCCTCAGGAAAGAGGTTATGGCTTCTTAGGGCAAAAAAGATTGTACATCAGAACTGAAGCACCAACCCCAAATTATTAGCTGTTATCTTGGTAGTTATGCAGGTTGATTTGTCTATATCTCTTGCCCTCTGCATATTGCAGAGGTGATCTCAGACCTCCTACCTAGCCCAGCTCATGTAGTCATGGCAGTCACGTATTTCCCACCGCTCTCACTGTCATTCACCCCTAAGCCACTCCCCTCATAGAGAATTAATAAGACATGGGAAAGGCTCTGGGTTGAGGCCTTTGTTCCTGTGAACCACCATCTTGGCTAGTCTTAGGACCTCTCAGATCCCATAACTGTATATTCTCACCATGGGTTGCACTGGAAGTGGTAGATAGGAATTAACGGATTAGAATTCTGTAACTTCTCCTTGGGATTACAACTATAACCCTTCCTGAACCTGGACAAGGATGGGAAAGAGTTCGCTATAACCAACTCCACCCCACCAGAGCAGGCAAGTATCTTGTTGCACATGTGATGAGTCTGGACACCCAGATGGCACAGTGCAGGGGAAGGGGCCATGCAGCCCCTGGCTGTCACATGTGAGACCAGGAGCCCAGCCTGACACAGCAGGAGTGACTGACTGTTGCCCAGCGCCCTGGCCTCTGTGGGCATCATGGCTTAGCCAGAGCTCTATCATTTGTGTGGACCCACAGATCCAGTAGCACCATGAGCCTGGTCCAGAGCTACCTATTACCACAGACACTGGTTCTCCTGCTGCCACCACCATCTGGACCTGGTGGTGATGGGGTCCTTTTGAGAACATCACATCTACATGGCATTGCATGGCACCCAACCTCATCAGACAAGGCAGACTGCCCTGTGTTCCTTCCAGAGCCCCAGCGCTGAAGGAGCAAGCCATCTCCAGTTCCAGGCACAGAGGTCTGCCATTCCCACAGCAGCACTGCCCCCACTGCTCGAGGAGGGCATCTTGGCACGTGCAGGAGTGCTGAGCTGTGACTGGACCAATGGCCACCATGTCTGCAGGACACTCTTTTTGCTTGGAACAATGACCAACAATAGATTCTAGATCTTGGTTACCTGACAGGTATTTTCAAATGCATGTGAAGCTGTCACTTCAAAAAAAACAACAGTATTCACTGCCCAGGTTATACTTTATAGACTTCAAGCAAAAATTAGAATTTTGGAAAGCTTGCCTTTGTAGCTGCAAGTTTGAGAGTCCCAGCACTCAGAGTGCCTGCAGGGGCTCCAGCAACATGACTTCTATGCACTGTAAAACGGCAGGTCAGCATCTGGGAGGTTCACCTACTGGGTAACTGTATTTTCCAGTACACATGGTCTTACACAGTTGTGCCAGGCACAGACCCCTCAGAGCACAGGACAGACCAAGGGTTTAATGAAGACTGTGGTGAGGCTGTGCAGGGGACACAGACCCCACCCCTCAACCAGTCCCCAGATGCGCCTGCTTCTCAGGTCCTGGGCAGTGTCCCGGGAACCACAGCTATGGGAACGGCTAGTAAAGTCTCCCTTTCTCTGCCGGGTGTGGGGCTTACACCTGTAATCACAGCACTCGGGAGGCTGAGGCAGGAAGGTCATTATGAGTTCAAGACCAGCCTGGGCTACAAAGTGAGCTCAAGACCAGCCTGGACTGCATAGGAAGACCCTGTCTCAAAAAGACCAAAGAGAAAAGAGAAAAAACAAGTCTCCCCTTCTCGGGCTACAATTTGCTTAAGGCAAGTTTCTTCACAGGCGGCCCAGGAAATACATCCTCAAGATGCAGAGGGGTGTAGTTCACTCACCGTCTGCCAGCTGACTTCAGAGACCTGAGGACCACAAAACTCCATTCTCCCCACTAGGCTTCCTTTTGTTCTCGGAAATAGTTTTCATGAGGATCTCAGGTAATGCGTTTACTGTTATGGTTTGAAGTAAGCATTTGGCTTACGAACCATGTTCACAGCCACCATGAGAACCACCCCTGGCGTGAAGAGGCCAGGGAGGAAGAGGAGGGGAAGGCGCTGGGAGAGCGCACGCCCGCACAGGGGTATAAGCTTGCCAGGTCACCCTGCAGCGTACCTACCAAGCAAGCACTGGGCACTAGATGTCCTCCGGACAGTACTCGGAAAAACAGCACCTCCATGACAAGTGAGGAAAAGGAGCCTTGGGACCCACCTTCATACATGAGCTTCGTGCAGAAATACTCGTCGGACCCCGTCAGCGCCTCGTCCCTGTCTACCTCCAGGAGGTCGGCAAGCCGCGTGATGGATACTTCCAAGGAACAGAGCGAGCCAGTCCTGCAGTACTCCGCACCCACGGGCGGCAGCACCTCTGCCTTCACGTTGTACAGGGTCTGGGCAGGGACAGACAGCGAGCTCACACGCCCACCCACAGGCCCCAGCAGGCCACCCCAGGACCCCTGCGGCCACTCACCCCCCAACACTCGTGCCACAGACTCCGCGTCTTGGGGAATCCTTGCCCAGAGCTTTCCAGTCTCCTCAGTCGGACATTTTCAAGCACAAGAAGAAAGGGCTGTGCAGTCACCCTCTATACCATGGATAGGAAGCTTTTAGGGCTTTTGATGACACAAATGGCCAGCAGCTGATCAATGTTTTGCTTCCTTTGTTCCCTCTCTGCATCTCTGAATCTGCCTGAGATATTTTACAGGGGTTCCAGCCTGCCTGTCACCTCACCCCAGCGTTTGGTGCTCACTGCTGAAACATACAGATGTTTTCTTACCAAAGCACAACCCCATTACCACCAGTTAGCAAATCAACACACACTCCTCCTTATCCATCCAGGCAGTCTGCAGCCACTCTCCACATGGGCCTCGAAGCGGCTCTCCTGTGGCCTGCTCTGAGGTGCTGTGATGGGGTACTTGCAACCTGGACTGTTTGTCTTGGGGCTCAGAAGAGACCCCAAGGTGGGGGCAGTGACTTCAGCCTGCTATGAAGTCCCACCCTAGCTCAAATGCTGCTGCTCAGAACCAGAGCGCCTGAAGGCGTAACCAGCTCCTTGGGGGCTATAGGTCAAGGATTGGAAACCTCTGCCAACAAGCTCTCACAGCTACAGTGCCACCCGCCACAGGGTATCCCTCACAGGCCAAGGGTCTGTTCAGCCTATGGTGTAGGGACAGGTGATAAGCCACAGGAAGAGGAGACAAGACACCAGCCACTCCCACCCCTAACTCAAAGCAGGTGATAACCCAGACACAAACGCTAGGACTATAAAACTCTTAGAGGAAAACAAAGGGCCAAGGGTAGAGCTCAGTGGTACAGTGTCTGCCTGGCCAGTGTGAGGTCCTGAGTTCAACTCCTGATACAGAAAGAAAAGAAAAAAAAGAGAAAGGGAGAAAGAGAGAGAGAGAGAGAAGCAAACAGGAGAGGAGACTTTTATTACCTTGCATGAGACATTGACTGTTTAGATCTAAAACTAAAAGTCCAAGCAATAAAAGGGGGAATTCATTTTATTCATAGATTAAAAAGAAAGAAAAAAGGGGGGGAGGGGAATAGATTTTATCAAAAACTAGAACCTTCTGTGCTTCAAAGGACACCATTAAGAAAGTGAAAAGAGGGGGTTTAGCTCAATAGCATAAGTGCCTGCCTGGCAAGCATGAAGTTGTGAGATCGATCTCAGTACCACACAGTGAAAAGACAGCTCACAGAATGGTGGAAAGTATTTCCAATCATTTATACTGCAGGAACCAAAACCTGGGCTATATAAAGAACTTTCAAGTCCACTTATGAAAAAACAAATTGACCCATTAAAAACGGGTGAAGACTTGAATAGGTGTCTTTTCTAAAACCACACATACCTGGCTGAGCCATGACGATGCCTCATCACGGCCCGTGGGGGACAGGGATGTGCAAGCCAGGACACTGCAGTGCTGGGCCAACGTCACAGAGACGGCAGGGACCTACGCAACGAGGGCAGCACCAGCGCCTTCAGCTTACACAGACCTGTAGAAATTCTTCCTACATTCTTAAATCTGACCCAGAAACAGCTGCGGAGCTGACTGCCAGTGGTGAACAACGAGATTACAGCTGCAGAGCCCTCCCCACCTCCAGGGCCCCTGCTGCCCATGCCCGAGGACGCTGTGACCCCGAGGACGCTAGCATGAAGACTGACCTGCGCACTAACCCAGCTGAGGGCCAAAAGGAGGAACCAGTTCATGAGAAGAGCGGGAAGAAAGGGTGCCAGTGCAAACCTTCGCAGGTAAGCCCAGGGCTTGCAGGAAGCGCGAGAGGGGGAGCCGGCCCCAAACCCCAGCACAGCCCACAGCCTGAGATCGCACTTACTCACCCCGCCACTCCCTCCCTTCTCAGCGCCCCACTTCTCCTAGCACAATACTACCTCCATGCCCCGCAGCACTGCTGGTGCTTCCTTTAGAAAACCAGTCACTGACTTCTGGCAGAACATGGTGGATAGATAACAGCAGCTACAGAGGCTCTCTGAGATAGCCAGCTTAGAATCCAGGAATGGTGCGGTGTGAGGAGTCCTAAGCAAGGGGAGATATACCCTGCCGACCCTGGAATGAACTAAGCTGAGAGAAACTGGAAATGCAATCCCAGTGCTATAACTGGAACAGATAAAATCTCCACGCGGAAGCTGGAACCCGAGCCTCTGGAAACCGTAATTTGAATTTTCTGCTGCCGCTGCTGCGTCTGAATCAGCACAGCAGGGAGAGAGACGCACGAAAGCTCTGAGAGCGGGAATTGGCGAATGGAGTTTAGAGCGGGACTGGCAGGGAGCCCTGCATTGACCTGCGGTGAGTGAGAGGAACAGGGACTTTTCCATAGACTAGGAGGCTCCAACAGAGGACATTCTGGGACCAGGCAGACTAGCTGGAACAGGATGCTGGAGTGACTTTAGTCGCATATTCCCCTCTCAAGCGGGATTGGTGGGGAGTGCTTGGCATGGGTGACGCCAAGGACTAAGACCCAGCAGGCTAGCCCATACAGGTCCCAGCGCCTAGTGGTGCACCCTAGCAGAGACGCCTTCAGTAGGTTGACCTGGAGGGGTGGGCCCAGCAGAGGCTGCCCAGGTCTGTGTCTCCCTAGTACACAGCAGTGGGCATGAACACCTAGCCTGCAGATTCAAACAAACTGTAACTGACAAAGAAAGCCTCCTATATACGCTTGTATGGAAGGAACAAAAAGTATGGGAAGAGGCAGCAACAAGAAAGGGTCCTCAGTCCCCAATCCTGAGAACACTGATCCAGGAAAGGTAAATGCAAAGGAGAATGAGGACAAAAAACATGCAATATCAGACACGGCACCAATAGACATAAAGCGAAATCTCCGGAGCCTCATAGACAAGTTCAAAAGTGAAGTATTTAACCAAGTAAAGCAAGATATAAGTAGAATAGTTAGAGAAATGCTAAGCACCACCCAAGAAAAAACACATGGTGGAATGGAAAAACAGAAAAAAAGGGGAGAATTGTTTGATGGAGAAAATAGAAAAAACATAGAATACGTGAAGCAGGTTCAAAGAGATTACCAGGAAACTAAAAACTCTATTGAAAGTTGGCATAACAGCTTGAAAGAAACCAAGGATAGATTATCTGAACTGGAGGACAGATTTGTAATGTGGGAGCATGAAATGAAAAACTTCTTAAAAATAACAAAGAAACAAACAGCAATAATACAAAGGCTAGAAGATGATAAGAGGATCTATAACTTAAGAATTCAGAATGTAAAAGAAGAAGTAGGAACACAAACAAATGAACTACAAAGGCTATTCACAGAAATAATCCAGGAGAATTTCCCTAATTTAGCAAAAGGTAAAGATACTCAGATGTATGAGGCATACAGGACCTCAGCCGCCTACAACCCAAACAGAACTACACCCAGGCATATAATAATCAAGATTCCAGAAATCCAATGTAAGAACAGAATATTAAAAGCCATCAGAGATAAGAAACAGATCACTTACAAGGGAACACACATCAGAATTACAGCAGACTTCTCGGCACAAACCAAGAAATCACGAAGAGTGTGGGGGAAAATAATTCAAGCTTTGAAAGATAACAACCTCCAGCCAAGATTGATATATCCTGCACAACTGTCCCTAGAAATTGATGGAAAAACAAGGTGCTTCCAGGATAAAGAGGAACTAGGGGAATTTGCAACCACCAATTCAACTCTACAGAGAATACTGCAGGATATTCTAAAAAAGAAAAATACCAAGATTCCAGAAACAGTGGCAGAGAGGCCACAATGAATGGAGCAGAAAGTGAAATGAAGAAGACAAACTGACAACTAATGACAGAAAAAGAGCTCAACAGAAATGAGGCAGAGAAGGTTGGATGGTAGGAACAGCTCTTTTGGAGAAAAACAAGACATCATAATAGCTAGCGCTGATTTAATATCATCTTGTTTTGAAGTCCCATCAAATTTTTGTTCTTCTGTCTCCATCGGTCTTAACATGTTATACCTTATTGGATTTTATTATATGTGATAATATAAACAAAAAATTTTATAGATAAGGAGATTATACAGAAATCATTGTTCATTTTCTGTTAGTTGCTTTTAAATACCCTGTAATACTGTCATTCTCTTGAATGACTTTACATTGTCTTGATATGTTTGATGTTACAAGTATATGAAGTTATACTCAAAGATTTTAAGGAAAGAGACACTAAGGTTAACTACTTTTATGTCGGGATATCTTGTGGTGAAACACTATTTTGCTTAAATGGTTATGTTTTGACCTGCGCTATTTTGCTGTTATGCCCTCTTTTATCTCAATCTCCTTTTTTTATTATTTACTTATTTTTATCTTTTAAGGGAAAAATAAATAAAAAATAGCAGGATATATTATAGTAACCCACTTTGATTTCCTATTAACTTGATTTGAAACCCTGTATTGCTCTCACCATCTTGTTTTGACTGATTTTCCTCTATTCTGTTTTGCTTGATAGTACCAAGTTCGAGAGTATAGGCAACAACTGTGAAGACAGTAAGATTCATTATGACGCCCATTCTGGTTAACTATTATCTTCTTTTGAAGTCCTGTAATGTCTCCAATGTTTTGGTTTTTATTGGTTTTGTTCTTTACTGTTTTGTTCAATTTTATTATAACTGATGACATAGGCAATTCTTTTTAAGATAGCAAGAGGCATTATGGTAACCATTGTTGATCACCTTGTATTTTGTTTTTACGTTATATATTATGTCCATCCTTTTGATTTGACTGAATCTGTTCTGTCACATTTGGTTTTATTCTCTTCAAAAAAAGTAATAAGAATTGTGGGAGTAATAAAACCCAAAATGTGTAACTGTTATTGTACAAAAGAGAGAAAAAGAAAGTGCTCTAAAGCATATAACTACATGTATATTTAAATGTATAAGATAGATAACCATATTACTGAGTTTTGTTGGATCATTGAATAGAACTGTTTGCAGTCTCACTGTTTGAATGTCTACTTTATATGCTTTAATTTTGTAATTTGAACAACTATTTCTAAAATGACAGTATGTAATCTACTAACTAGTGATTTCCTACTGTTTATTTTTTCTGAAATTCTGTATAACTTGTACCCTTTTTCTATTTTTTTTCTTTTTCTCCTTAAATAAAATTAAAAAAAAGAGAAAAGAAAACCTGTCACCCCAAAAACCACAGGCCTGCCTACGTGGGAGCCGGTGACGCAGATGAGAGCGCACCAAAGTGGCTTCTGGGAGCTGCTCAGCCCAGGTGAAGACCATCACCTCACCTTTCTCACTCACCCTGGGGCAGCGCTGAAGCAACACAGCCCGCTGCGTGTCATGGGAGGAGGACCCAAAGACTGCACTCCCAAGCTCTGGCTTCGATATAGAATCTGTCCATTCGAAAGGTACAAAGACTCCGCCGCCACCATTCACATTCCCACCCCCCACCCCACCCCACCCCCAAGTGGCTCTACGTACAAAGAAGCTCTCCACTTGGAATTGGTATGTGTAGGGCTTTAGGGAGATGCGCAGCCGCTCTTCAGAAGCAGGGGAGAAGCCCACAGAGAACTGGCAGTGCAGGGCAGGGGGAGGCTCCTGCGTCCACTTCAACTCCCACACGAAAAACACGGACTGCTTGCTGTGGATGTGCTGCAGAGAGAAGCACTGTCACCACCACAGGCCAGGAGCCCAGCACTGGAGAATCAGCATGGGTGGGTCACAGCTAACATGGCGAGACGACTTAGCCTAATAGCACAGCTGCAGAGTCCATGCTGAGGAGGGCGGCAGGCCTGCCCATGCAGACAAGACATCAGTGCTGTGTGTCACTGAGCCAGCGCAGGCCTGCTCAGTGCACATGAGCTCTCCTGGGGCGACAGTGAGACTCCTCTCTATACCCCAGCTCAACCTGCAAGCATACAACCTCACTGTCGGCAAACTCCACAGCCACATTCTGCCACACCTGACCCCAGAAGGCACTTACCTGCGGGGATGGCACATTCAGTGGTGTCAATTGCAGGTTAGCAGTGTCCCTGGTATCTACAAGATTGCTCTCTGCCAGCTGGAAGTCAAGCTCTGACAAGTTCTGGACACAAACTTGAATGTATTTCCTAAACCAGAAAAGCAAAGTGTGATTTTGATACATAAGAATCTTATTAACCATATTTGACTTTAAGAAGTCCTTCGCAAGGGGCTGGGGATTTAGCTCAGCGGCATAAGTGCCTGTCTTGCAAGCAGGCAGTCGTGGTTTCGATCCCTGGTACTGATAAAAATGAAAAAGACAAAAAAAAAGAAGCCCTTCGCTGATGAGAGGACCACGAAAGTGACAAAGCAAAGTCATTTCTACTTTTGATTTCAAGTGTAAACATGTCCAAGAACCCCATGCCTTTTTAAAATAAGCTTTTCCTGTGGGGAAGCGGAATGTGGCACTGTCCAGGCATGATGTGTGGGCCTCCCCAGTCAGGCAGCGGGTCAGTGTCCACTGGGAAAGGACAATGGCCACTCATTCTCACTACAAGTCAGGGCTGGTCACTAAGAAACCACGCCACTTCTGATATCTGCAGAGCTGTGAAATGAGTCTTCAAGGAAAGTCATGGCAGGTTCTCTGAGAAATGACAGATTTTCCGTCACTAATTACCACAGTTCCCCTGCTATGAGTTACAGCATTGCTGATATCGTGCCCTGCTCTGCTGTGGTTTTAATGTTTCTTCTTCCAGCTTTCCTGGATCTCACTGATGAAGTGGGGAAGGTGACAGTGGAGACCAGGCTAGGCCCGGGCAGGGCTGAATGTCACACACTGCTGTCAATGGCAAAGTGCGGTGGACCGAGTGGGCTCCCTCGTGTGCATGAAGAGGTCAGCCACACACGAGAGCCAGGACCTTGCCACAGAGGAAGTACAGACTCAGGCAACACACAACCAGAGCAGGGCTCTCAACTGGGCAATGCAACCCATCCTGGGGGGCTGGGGACAGATTGGCGACATCCCTGGTATCACACTGGAGGGTAGGCTTATTCCTGTGGGGAGGGGATGTCCTGTGGTGCTGGCACTGCTGACACAGAACTAAGCACGGACTGGGTGTTACAGGACACAGGGAACCCTGTGAATTTTACCAGGGTCAGTGGCGTGGCTGTTATGTAAGAAACCACCCTAATTATCACAAAGGCCAGTAGCATAGCAGGAAAAAAGCAGGTTCTGATACCTGGTTCCAGCAGACAGCAGCGAGTGCGTGGTCCTGAAGGGCACATTGAACGTCAGCGCAATGACAGTGGAGTAGATTGACCATGGGCAATCGATGGACACCTGTGGGGAACAGAAAGCAGGACTCGTGCTCAGCCCACCGATTGCAGTACAATGAAGTCTGAACTTCCTATTATGGCTCCTCTATCCACTGTTCATAAACCAGACTTCTATCAAGCATGCACTAACAAGTGAGAAACGTGAAGCTAGATACACAGACAAAGAACACAGAGAATGGACAAGGGGCCTCGTGTCACCATTTCTTGCTAAACAGGTGGACAGGCGGAACCTGCTGTCATGGTTTCTCAGCCCCTCACCCTCCCTACCTTGTGGTCGGTGGTGACCATGCAGGGGGCCCCCCTCTGTCTGTCCTTCTGCTTCCTGGGCGGCTCCGGAGTCCCCAGTGTGGCACTCTCCCCACTACACACTGGAGCTGATGGCAGGGACAGGACCTCCAGCTCAAACTCAATCACGTGGTACGCAGGCGTGGCAGGCAGCCCGATGCTTGTAACCTTGTCAGAAGACTGGATCCGGAACACCGCAGTGTGGGACTCTTCTACGGAGACAGAAACTGCAAATCAGACATATCGCCTCCCCTTCTCGGTGGCAGGTGGCTGCTGTCCTGCACCTGTGGGGGGACCAGGTAGAGGTGAGAGGCGGGACCAGCCAGGAGCCACTCTGGGGGCTGAGACCTCAGGGCTCCACCACCCACAGTAAGACCAGGGAGCATGCATGGCTAGGGACCCAGAGGCTGCAGTCTCAAGAGGCTTCTGATGGCACCCGACTATGGTGACCTGCTCCTGCTTCTCAGAGAGGACAGGTTGGGTGGGCAAGGCTGCAGTACAGGCTGGCTGTACCACATGTCCCCAGCAAGCTCAGTACCACCCCGTGCCTGGCGCAGTCAGTCTGGTTCCCTCACAACCAACACCCAGCCCAGGGTCAGGTTAGTCCAGCTACACGCATGGACTTCAGATGCTGCCTCCAGACATAGACGTAGGAAATGCCAGACAGGCTGACGTGGTAGCAGGGGTGCCGAGGCTCTGTCACAGCCTCCCAGTACATGGCTGTGCTCTGAGCCTGCCTGTGCCTCACCTGCCTGCACAGTACCTCTCGAGTTAGAGTAGATCACTGCTCTGTTCTCCCCCTGACACAGGACCAACATAGCCTCCACGTTGCTGAGCTGCAGGCTGTCCCCATTCTTCACCGTGTAGTGGCCAGTGGTGACAGTGAACTTGACCTTCTGAGGAATACCAGCCAAAAGGCTATCTAAAGGAACAAGACAGCAGTCAGGGCCTGTGATGAGGGCAAGAAGGGACCCCGTCTTCTCTTCAGGATATCTGCTCCCCTGGACACGCCAGGACCTGCCTCAGTCTCCAGCCCCTTGCCCTAACTGCTCATGTGGGTGTGCAGCTGTGAGAAGTGCCTTCTCTGGGGCAGAAACACAATCACAGTGATAGCCCCGCTCACCCAGCCACCGCATCAGAGGAAACAAGGGCAGCAGGTGATGGCCCCACTCACCCAGCTGGAAATAAGTGCAGCAGGTGCTGAGGTCTCCGTGAACCCTGGCCCGGGGAGGGAGAGGTAGCAATGGGAAGGGAGTGGAAATGAGACAGACAGGCCAAGGCCGGGAAGCATTACAGCCCTGCAGCAGTGGAGCACAGCCCTGCCGCAGAGCATCCTGCGTGCTGGGTCACCTCAGAGGTGGCCTGCTCTGCCTGCACTGTCATCCTGGCACAAGCTGATGCAGAAAGAATGGGAGAATGGGGAGACTCGTGGGAAAAACGCCCAGTAAACACGCTGCTCCCAGCCTCCATGGCGGGGACTCCCACTCACTAGTGCTTAGTTGAGTACTGAGTGGGCTTCAACAGACCGACGCCAGCTCCTTATGTGGAACTGATCAAAGCAGAAGCAGCTCTGGACTTGCAAGTGTGATACGGTAATGCCAGGCTCACCTGGCGCCCACAGCAGGGAAGCCAGCCCTGACCGGAAGCCTCTGCCCAGCGCCTGTGCAGGCCTCTGCTGACTCTGACACCCCTGCTGCCGTCTCAGATGCACCAGTTATTCAGCTCCAGTCAGCACCACAGAAGAGCCACAGGCAGCTCCATCCTGCTGGACAGGGAGCCTCAGAGGCCGTTGGACAGTGACGTCTGCATCCTATCCCCTTCCCTGCACTGGCGGCAATGGCTTCCTGCGTGGCCGTGGGCACCACTCACCAGCCAGTGGCTCCACATGTAGCTGGGGCTCCTGAGAATACACGTCATACTGCACGATGGGGTAGATATGCGGAAGCACGAACCACACGGGACCCACCGTGGCACACAGCTGCCGCAGCGTGTACGTTCCCGGCTCCTTGGCCTAGGTCAAAAGCAGCTACTTAGGAAGACTGCAACCACTCTGCAGCCACGTGCAGGTCACAGCGAGACGCATCTGCTTCCTGCGCAGCCTTCGGCCCTGTGCACCCACGTGTGCCCTGAGAGGCTGGGCCAGAGGCCCCGGGTCTCAGAGTGACCAAAGCTACTGTTCAGCCTCATGCTTCAGAGGAGGCGATCCAGGAAAGGGACTGTGGAGGCATCTGCGGTGAGGGTGCTCAGAAGACTCCAGGGTGCGCAACCTGCTCTGGGGCAGGACTGGCCCAGCAGAGCAGTCTTGCCAGAGCTGAGCATATGCGGCCCACCACATCAGAGGAAAGCGCATCGGGGGGCCAGGGACAACTGACTGGCTGTTCAGACCCAGGCCTTTCGCACTGAGATACCCGCCTCGCCCCACTTTTATTTATTTGTTTAATCTCTTTTTGAGATGGTCTCACTAAGCTATCCAAGCTGGGTCTGAGCCTGTAGTCCTCTCTTCTTTAAAATTTCATGTTAGCGATGAGGATGCAACTGGTACACAGGGGAAGCTGCCACTGAATCTGCAAACAAGCACCTAATAAAGAACTCTAGCTGGAATGATGGACAGTCAAAAATATAAACACGGAAGACTTTGACAATTCTCAGTGTGTTTTCCCTTAAGAAGAAAGACAAAAATACAGATGCCAGACAACGGGCCCCACCAGAGCCTTCACCCCAACCTGAGTTGCCCTCCAAAGCCGACTTACCTGAGTCCTGAATGCCACCCTGTTGGCCCCGGGCTCCAGGGTCACACTGCTACACTTCAGCACGTGGGCCCCATCCTCCAGGGCCACCCCCGAGGGCACCTCCAGGGAAGAGCCGCTCTCCTGCCTCCGCAGCAGCATGTGGACATTTCTGCAGATGATGCCCGCAGTGCTCAAGGAGTTATCAGAAGGGCTGCGCTCAAACACCTCTGACAGCTCCAGCGCGGGCAAGCTGTTCTGGGCAGCGGGCAGCGGGGAGCCCTCGGCCGGGAAGTGGATAATCCCGTTGGGCGTCTTGTGCTTGGTCAGCCACTCAGCAGTCTTCCGGTAGCTGTTCTTCTCAATGCTGAAGTGGACGTTGACGGTGATCTGGTCTACTTGCACGGGGACCGGCATCTGGCTGCACATGGTCATCTCCAGGGACAAGATGCCACCTGCGTGGACCACGGCATTGGGGGGGTCGAAGAGCAGGTCCTGCAGCTGTGCGAAGGAGTGCATGGGCAGCACCACCTTGTGACCTGGGAACACAGACCACGTGTCCTTCCCAGGTCACCACCTGCTGGCACAGTGGTGCCCTGGCCCTGCCTCTGGGGCCAACAAGGCTTCCTGCCACCATCGCATCCTAAGAGGGACTTTGTCAATAGAAAAACACAAATGAATGCAGACAACTCAGGGAAATTATGAAAATAACAGGTACTAATTGGCATGGCTTACACAAGTCAACTCACTCAAATTCAAAATAAAGCTTGTCAGCAGCACACTTCCTGGAGTTTCTGAGGTCCCCACACTTTCCTGCCTCTTTACAAGTCTCAAAGACCAATGCCAGGAGCCCCACAGTCCGTGAAGCCAGCTAGTGAGGAAGCACCAAGGAGGCACCAAGCTCTGTGGCCTCTGTGTGTGTGGAGAAGCCACTCGATCCTGGCCTTCTAACCTGCTTCCGACAAGCAGCCTGGAGTGGACAGACAAAGGGCAGACTGCAAACCCAGCTGGTAAGTCCTTCTCAGCCATTCACTGACTAGAGGAGGGGCTGGGGACGCAGCTCAGCGGCAAAGCAAGTGCTTAGCACACACAAAGTCCCAGCTCTATCCCCAGCACTGCAAAAAAAGAAAAACAGAACAGCTGGTCTTGAACTAAAGGAGACCTGCCAAGGGACACCACAAGATCAGAGGAGAACAGTAAACTAGAGTGAGGAACTGTACAACCCTCACAGAGATGGCATGGACACTGCAGGAAACGTAGCTCGGCCACCAGCCACACAAGCTAGCAGCAGGCGTGGTCGTGGTACCATCAGTCCATTCAGGCACAGTACAGAGCCAACAGACAGCACCACTGCCATGTGCTCCTGAGAAACCACCGAGGAAACCTGCCAAAGCCAAGGTATATGCAGAGCCAAAGTCTGGAAAATTCGCTTTCATGTAGCCCAGTCACTGCCACGGACTGGACCACGTCCCTGAGCCCTGACCCCAGCTCCCGAGGTGGTGTATGCAGATGGGCTGGGAGGTGGTGACCTCGGATGAGGCCAACGGGCCTCAGGGTGGGATCAGTGTCCTTACAAGGACACTCTTCTCCCCAGCACAGGGACACAGGAGGCCAGGAGAGGCCTCATTGAAACCTGAGCCTCATATCTGACCCAATGCCACCTCCAAAGCACAGAGGAGACAAAGCCCTGACCTCGAGCCTTGGAAATCCTCCAGGACAGGCTGTGTGGGTCCTGAGACCTGCAGGTCAGGTGTCCCAGAGACATAGGTGTCTGGGGGTTGGTAGAGCAGGGGTGGCAGTGTTCTAAATGGCTGTGGGTACACACAACTCTAAATACACTAAAAGCCACTGGAGGCACACTTCAAATGTAGGATCACGCTAAGTGGGCTGTACCTCAGTAAAGCTGATAGGTTTAAGAAAGAACTGAGAACAGCTGTTCTAAACTAAAGAGAATTGTGATATGACAACCAAATGCAGTATGAAGTCCCTATTGACCACGATTAAAACAAATTTCTAGTAACTTCTTTTTGACGATTAGGAAACTTTTGAGTATGAACCTCTTAGTAGGTGATACTAGAACTCCATGAACTCCTTAGGAGTGGTCAGGAGACCACCTACCCTTATTTTTAGAAACTGTACCTAAAGCTGTTTGGGGGAGTAACATTTCCTTGAAGTGCAGCAAAAAGAAAAAGTCAAAGAGATGCGTGATGGGGCCTGGGCCTTAGCTCAGTGTTGTGAGCACCTGCCTGGCAAGGTCCTGAATTCAGTCTCTGGTACCAAAAATGAGAGAGCGAGCAAGCAAGCAAGAGCTAGCGTGATGCACCCCAAACTTGCCCAAGTGTCACAAGCTGACTCCAGAAAGCCACTATGTGTTGTAATGTTATTTCTACTCCTCTGTAATTTCTGAAAATGTCCATGATTTTTTTAGAGTTTTTGTGGGGTTTTGAGACAGGGTCTCACTATGTAGCCCAGGCTGGCCTTTGTGGCTCAGCCTCTGCAGGGCTCATAATGAAGTGGCAAGTGCAGGACTCACCCGGGCTATCTGCAGATCCCCTGGCAAAGCTGAGTATCTCCTGGCAAAAGTACTCTCGCTCCTCCTCGGTCAGGTGATGATCACTGGCTAGAAGGCTGCTGGTCTGCAGGTAGCTGAACCACAGTTAAGGGGCCTGGAGGAAGAACCTGGCACCAAAGACGCTCCCAGCCTCCAAAGGTGGTGAAAGGGCTTTTTAAGTCATTAGGAAGTCAAACTTGGGTTTACAAAGCATTAATGAGGCATTTTCACACTCCACAGTTACATGTAATACAGGAGCTTCTCCTCCGTATGATCAGCATTATCAAATACTCACTGGTGAACACCGCGTTTTAAAAACAGGAAGTATGTACAGGTATGAATTCTCTATGATGAATGTGATCATTCTCTAAATTGTGCCAATAAACTTAACTTTTTTTAAAAAGGCAATTTCCTACTTGGTGAACCGTGGGCTGTAAAGGATACTTCTCCACCTGCCCGAGGTGCTTCTGGCATTCAGCGAGTTGCTTCCGCGTGTGCGTGACAGGCAGGGCCCAGCCCTCTGCCAGGTAGCTCTTCAGAGCACCCTGAAGGTAGCTCTCTGCCTTCTGTGGGGACCTTTTCCTCCTGGCAACAGCAAGGACAAGAGAAGCTCTCCTCAGGACGGCGGCCTGTGCTCAGCCTCCCATGGCACTGGGACTGGTGGCGCTGCAGGACACCTCAGCTCCAGCCACACCCATGAGAGAAGCAGATGGTCCCTAGGTGATGCAGGGACTCTTCCCAGCAATCCACGTCCCTTCAGATAAATTCTGACTCCACCGACTTAAACTATTTCATTATAGCTTTTAAGATCTCATTTTGAACACATATCTTTTTTAAAAAAATGGAAACAAATATGAAACAGCGAGCACTCTGCAGCCAAGCTCTCCTGTCACTGGGCTAACTCGCTGTTGCTGCTGGTAGCAGGGGTAGAACTCAGGATTTTGCATTTGCTCAGCAGGCACTGTGCCACTGGGCTGTATCCCTGGCCCAATAGCTGATTTTTACCAAACACCGAAATCAAGCTAGATTTTAGATCTTCTTCTCTGGTATCAAACTCCAAGAAAGTCTGTGTACTACCTGGACACACATTATAGCAGTTCCCTCCATCTACTCCTCTTCCTCCTACCCCCACCCACCACCTCCCCGCAGTTCCCTCACCCCACCACCACCAGCCACCCCTTCACACATATGCAGCACACATGGCCATTTCCCACTTAACCCTGAGGGTCACACCCCGCCAACAGCTGTGTCATAGACCAGAGAGACTGCACACACTCATTCAGCTGAACTCGCCCTTGGGAGTAGGTTCTTAAATCCTTCCTCATTATGGGATTATTTTATGTGTGTAAAATGAAATAAACTAATTAATTAAACGTGAAAACTTCAAAGATCAATATTAGTTATTCAACGTAACAACTGAAAACTCTCCATTTGGACTTCAGAAAAAATGAAAAAAAGTCATGACTAGTTCAGATTCTGTATTTTTCAGTCCACAAACTTATGTGTACTTTAACTCCATACATACAACTTCACCCAAGATATGCATTGAATGTTTAAGACTCAACGAAAAGTTCAAGATCAATTACATGTGAAACTCAGCCAGATCTTTTCCAACCAATCTGGCGGACCGGGTCCTCCCAATACTCGTGTACATTTCAATGGTAGCCTGGGACAAATCCTGCGGAAAGCGGGGAAAGGCAGAGTTATGCACTTGGATCTTTAACACTACACCTTATTCACCCGAAAATGAAGCGAAAGACCCCATTAGCACAACAGTCTTCACTTGACTCTGATTCTGTGGTGTTTCTCTGCAGTGTGTCTGTCCACTGGCCAGTGATCTGGGCACACAATATGGAGCATGTTCACAGGAGAAATCCCTGAACTGGGCCCGCACAGATTATGTCACTGCACGGCACCTCCCCATGTGGGTGCTCAGACATCTTCCGCACTGTCTGCCTGACAGGGACCCCACCTCCCAGCTCAGTGCTGCTGAGAATTAACCACTCACGATTGGACTCGCACTGCCGCTGCAAATCACGCTCACCTGAAGCTGCTGACATAGAGCACCACAGCGCCTGCATGAGACCACGTAGTCCCTTTTCTTTTACAAATTAACCTATTCATGTTCCTCTCTCACAATTTCTAGTTCGTGGACTCACAAGTATTCAAACACGTATTCATGTCTAACTGTGGCATGGGTACAGATAAACAGTCCATGAACAACTACCCTATCTTGGTCCACAGTTCCCTGGCATACGCAAGGACCCAATAAGGGCCTGGGAAGGTCTCAAGCACCAGCACGCCCCACATCAAAGGCAGCCCAGCAGCAAAGCCTCCTAGGGCGGAGCTGCACCCTGGGCTGGACAGGCTCACACACTTACTAAGTAGTGCTTCTCAAAAGCTTCCACTGACGACAGCGCCTCCTTGAGTTTCTTGTAAGGACTCTGAGCTGCGTTGGCTTTAACAGAAAGAGAAAAGAGTCCTTACTCGCCGGCGACACACGCGCCACGAGCTGGGGTCACACCACCTTCCAAAGCTGCAGGCGAAAACTGCGCTGGTTTTTAATGCAGTAGTAGGGACTGAACCCCAGGCTTTTGTACTGAGCTGCATCCCCAGTCCTTCTCAAAAACAATTTTCTTTTCATATCTTGAGACAGAGTCTCGCTAAGTTACTCAGGTGGGGTCAAGCTTGGGGCTTCTTGCCTCAGTCTCCTTGGTTACTGGGTCACAGGCATGCCCTTACACCCAGCTCCAATCGCAAACGTGTGGGAACTTCAAACACAGCCACCCCAGCAGAAACGGTGTCAGTAATGTGTCTGTGAAGTAGTCTACACCCTTCATGAACCACCTCTGCTCAGACCACTGTGGCCAGACTATTCAGAAACCCATTATTACACACACTGCAACAGACCGTGTTACTCCCACACCTTCCTGCAACACTCAGTCCAGGCAGTGCTATGAGGACGAGTCCCCCGAAGTCTCCTGGGCAGGAGGCCTTCCCCGCCCAGCTCCCAGTGGGCTGCAGCAGCAGCTGTACCTGTTTCAGGTCGTTCCGCTCCCAGGCCCGCCAGAAGGTCAACCGTCCTGTTCAGGTCTTCGGAGTCAGGGCCTTTCTCTGATACAAGTCCACACAGGTAGCCCAAAGACTTCAGCTATGGAGATAAACCCAAATCTTCTGTATACGTATAAACATATACACAAGTATACATACACATAGAGAAATATACACAAACACACATAAATAGGTAACATAACTTTACTGCTTATCTCTTTTAGTTCACTGAGGGGCAATCCCTTCCCTTGGTGCTTAGATTGGTTGATTAATTTTGCATGCCTACATCTTGTAACCTGAGCAACTACTTTGGTGACAACAATACACAATATATTAACTGTTCATTTCGTATTATCCTGTTTTGAAATTGAGTTTACCCTACCCTAAGAGTTGGCAGAGAATTCATAAGTTTAAATACAAAACTTCAAATCCAGTCCTACAGCCTCTACGGCACAGGCCCACAAGCACAGCTGGTCCTGCTGGCCCACCCGGCCTGGCACAGAGCCGCTTGTACCTTGAACGGTACACAGCGGCAGCCGTGGCCTCCAGGGCTGTGTCCAGACATGCTGCAAGGTCACAGGCGCCAGGCCACCTATCATGCAGGCACCCGAGAGGACCATGCAAGCACTGGGCAAGGGAGCGGTACCTTCTCTGTGGCATAGCTCCACAGCCCCACCATGTGCGCGATGTTGGAGTCTATCTGTGCCCGGTCACAGCAACCTTCTATCCTCTGCAGCACCTCCAGGCAGCTCAGAAACACCCAGCAGTCCAGTGCACCCGGCGGGACGGAGACCTGTACGGCACAAGTACAGGCAGTGAGGACAGAATGCTCGGCCCTGACAGGGCCCAGGCTGCATGGCTGCCAGGAGGAGCAGCCATCACCTAGCTCACAAGGAAAGAAGCCAGGGCCTATATCCAAAGGTGTCTTTGACACTCAGAATTTGATGAGAAAAGGACTCAGCAGAGACAGCTTATGGTCGCATAATCTGACCCTGATTAAGACAAAGCAGCCTCCGTAAAGGCTCCAGCTCCCACTGGGCCACACACAGGCGCTGCTCACATCTCCACGTGTACAGAACATGCACTGCGGCAGACTGTGTCCCGCTGCGGGAAGGAAGGCAAGTAGCCGTTCCGCAGCAGTGAGGAACAACGGTGGTCTGGATCTGGCCAGGGTGACCGCTGGTCCAAAGAGACTCCTGCTGCCCAGGCATGCACTACGGTACTCATCAGCAAAGGCAACACAGCAGCTGGGATTTGCCTGGGGATTCATCAAGGGGCGTGGACAGGGAGACAGGAACCACTTGGCCATGCACCAAGTGTCCCAGCTGCTGATGGACACAGAGCATGAACATGCTTTCTAGCTCTGCGGATATCCCAGATTTCCTTCCCTCATCTTTGTGAGACAAGGTCTCACTATGTAGTTCAGGCTGGCCTTAAGCTCACTTGTAGCCCAGGCTGGCCACAAACTTGCTATGGTCCTCCTGCCTCAGCCTCCTGAGTGCAGGGAATACAGGCGTGCGCCACCACGCCCCACTCTGCTTTTCATTTAAAAAACAAAAAAGTCACAAAGCTCTCTACTGACCTGAGTGCTCTAACTGTATCTGTTCACTTCTACCACTTTTGAAGCAGGAACACATCTTACCACCAACAGCGACCTACTCCTACAGTAAGTGGCAGTGCCAACTTTCTCTAGGTGGCACTGATTGCATGCTGCACCCAAAGCTGGCATCTTGGTTCTGGTGAACTATGCTACTTGATACAAGCCAAGGTGGGAACAGGAATGGGGCTCCGCATTGGTGGACAAGTGAAGGCCCCTTGTGCTCACAGTGGACTCCCAGGAGGCCTTCCTCAAGACACCCTCAGCACCAACAGAAGTAAAGGGCCAAAGTCCACTGGAGAGAACTCGAGTGTCCTCAATGTTCCTGTGGGAGCAAAACCGCCCAACTTTTGAAAGACATGATAAAAAATGTCTGCTGAAAAACTATCAGAAGAAAAATGCAGACAGCATGGCCCTCTGGCCAGCAGTGCCCTTGTCCATCAAACTAGCACAGGTAGGGGCTCTTCAGAGACACCTTGACCGCGATCCTATGAGGTCTTGGTGAACGTGCCACTCCTCTCCGTGCTACTCTTCTGCGTGCCACCCCTCTGCATGCCACTCCTCTCCGTGACCTTCCTCTGCATGCCTCTCCTCTGTGTGCCACTCCTCTGCATGCCATTCTTCTCCATGCCACTCCTCTCTGTGTCACTCCTCTGCATGCCACACCTCTGCGTGCCACTCTTCTCTGTGCCACTCTTCTCTGTGCCACTCTTCTCCATGCCACTCCTCTCCATGTCACTCCTCTGCGTGCCACTCCTCTCCATGACATTTCTCTGCGTGCCACCCCTCTCCGTGCAGGCGGGGACTAAAGGACCTTCTGGGACAACAGAAGGCTCACACAGAGCTGGACTCTACACAGTACCCTGTGCTAACAGTCACCTGACTCAGACAAATCCAGGAGGGCAAGAGAGTGGCAGAGTACAGGCCAGCACCAAGGGATTCTGGGGTGCAGGCAGGACCCACAAAGCACCCAGCAGCACCCCATCAGAGCCTGCACAGCAGAGTCGCACTCCAAACCCACAGTCCTCCTGGGCCAACCTGGATCCTTCCAAGGAGCAAGTAGCATTTGGGAAGTGGAGCGACACATCACAGTGGCCCTTCTGGGGTCGAGACTGCCAAATCAGCAGCAGCCACTGGCCGCTGTGACTCCAGCCCCAAGTGACACACAAGGAACAGCCTGGGCTTCATTTATGAACTGAAAACCAGAGCTCAGGAAGCCCTGCTCTGGGAACGCAGGCTCCACACCCACATGAACTGGCATGGCCCTGCCTCCCTATAGCTCTCCCAGGGACTGTCTTCAGAGAGCCCTACAGCTTCTGTCACCCCTCGGATGCCACTGTTCTCTGACAAAAGGATACACACACGAGTTGGCACCAGAAGTGTCGATGGCACCATGGGGCATTCACCTCTCATCACTTAGGTTATGATGAACTGTGTGGTGGCCTGGCCCCCAACAGACCCCAAGAGAACCCACCAGGGCTTGGAGGACCCTGCCACTTCTCCCCAGTTCCAGGGCCTCACAGGGGTGGGCTGCAGGGCAGTGGGTCACCTAAGGCTTCAGACATTTTAATGAAACGAATTTACTGAAAACAGAGTTACACCTTTGCACTGCTCTGAAAAGTAAGTTATATGAGGGATTTAAGGGGCATAAATTCTAACTTCAGCATTTGATAAATTCCTACATGTGTAAACACTGCCCAAGGCATTAGTGCTTGCCTTTCCTTGAAGGCGCTCTTGTACTTTCCAGAGAGATAAGCGACTGACCAGCTCCTTTTCTGGCCTGCCTGACTCTGAGCATCACACTCGTGGCTCCGGTCCTGGCTCGGCAGCATCCACAAGCCCCTTCTGTGAACAGCTGTTCCCCAGCCCTGTCCAAATGCTAACCCACTCTCAGTGTGTCTGTCTGCACGGCTGCTCCAGCTCTGGGAAGCCTTCAGAGATCCAAAAGCATGCCCACCCCCCCAGAGCCGCAGCAGCCTCACGCTAACCCCTCACCCAGACACACAGCCAGGAAGGAGCTGTCCCTGGAAGATTCACTGCCTCCTAAAACAGCAAGGCCAGCGCTAAGGGCCTGAACACAGAGGGGCACACAACACATGTGGCCGCCCCAAGGGCTTCCGCTCTGCACAGGACCAGTCTCTGCCCTGGGGGAAGGCAGCACCCAGGACCCACATACTCCCCTAAAAGCTCGTGTCGCCTAGCTGGGATCTCAGCTCTGTCACTGCACTCGGGGACAGGTGGAGGTCTCACTGCTGCTCAGAATTCCCACTGCCCTAACAAGACAGGGTGCCATTGGCCATCTGTATTCCCACCGCTTGCAAATAGCAGACTGTCCAAGCAATGTCCTGATATATACTCTGCAGCTTTTGTTCAAGTCTTTGTCTCCTGCTTCCCATGGTATCAGCAACGCCAGGAGTCATTTGCCATTTTAAAGGATAAAATTAAGTGGAAATTTTCACCCTTTTCTGGGCCTACACCCCACACCCCAGTCCCCAGGGCCCCAGTCATCACCACGCCTCCACAATGCACTGCGGACAACTCGCTGCAGAGCAGACTGCCTAACTCACGCCTGCGTCTGTGTGCGCTCTCGGTGTCTGGCTTCTTCCGAGGCACACGCCTCGCACCCCACCATCTGTTCCCTTCTGGTAATGATGCAGGTAATAGCGTCCCTTGCATGTGCTGGACACAGGGGCTTTCCCCACACCGAGTAACAAGGCGTGTGCCCACTCACACTCCTGCACCTGTGCTGTGTAGTGTGAACACACGTCTGTGTGCACCGGAACAGGACCGCACTGCAGGAGTTCAGGCACGTTCTGCCTCAGCAGAGGCGGCCAGGTACAAAATTTTCTGACACAGGGCTACAGCTGTGGTCAGCAGGTAAGCTCTGGTCTCCCCTCACTAACACCTGCCCAGCCTGCTCACTGCAGCCATCTAGTGGCAAGCACTGGCATTTGGAGGAGGTTCTGGCTTGGGTTTCTCTGTGGCTGAGTAGATGGAACACCTACCCATGCACCAACTGGAGACCTAGACAGCCCACTGGCCTATCTGTTCACCTGTCTGTGTGCACACAGGAGCTCTTCTTACATCCAAGATAAGGGTGTACTACTGGCTACACGCACTGCCTATCCCTTCCCACTCTGTGGCCTGCCTTCACGGACGTTTGTGGGTACAGATACAGGACAGCTGTACCCTAGGAAATGTGTTCACCTTAGGGTCACAAAGCTACTCTCCCATGCTGCCTTCCAGAGTTCTCTTTTCATTGTAATTTCATGCTTCAGATAAAAACCCCAGCTGGAAGTACTTCTGTCTGTGGTGGAGAATTAGGACTTTTCATACAAGAGTACACAGCAGGCTCAGCAGCACCTATAGCAGAAATTCTTGAATCCATTCACCTAAAATCTACTCAGCATTGGGGGTGGGGATTTAATGCCCACCTTGCCAGCATGCAGTCATGAGTTCAATCCCCAGTACTAAAAAAAAAAAAAGAACCACTATTCAGTATTGGTCAGCTTTCCCATCACTAGGACCATACAGCTGACCCTAAAGGGTAGGAGCATCACGGTGGGGGGATTTTCAAAGGAAAGCTGCTCACTTGTGGTTCCCAGAAAGCAGAGCAGGGAGTAGCCCCAGAAAGGAAGGCCAGAACCAGAGACAGTACCCAGGTCATGTCCCATGGCCCACTCTGACACACGAAGTGTGTCTTACTAATCCCCTCAGCCCATCGAGTTGACACTCCAGCTTAACTGGCACATTCTGCTTTCTATTAACTGGACACCCAGAACACCCAGACACATCTCCCTGAATCCTGCTGAGCCTCTGACTACACAAGACCGTACTTCGGTCTAACATGACAGAACTACCCTGCATAAAACTAAACACAATTAACAGCGCTGGCACAACTAAAAAGTTTCCTTTAAGACTAACTGTGAACCCCTGTAAAAATAAAAAATAATTGGACTGGGAATTTAGCTCAGTAATAATTGGACTGGGAATTTGGCCTAAACGCCTGCCTGGCAAGAGCAAAGTTGTGAGTTCAATCCTCAGTACAAAAAAACCCAATCTGCAGGTACGTTGACTCAGAGTAAATACTCTCATTCCAAAAGGGAGGAATAGGGAGATGGAAAAGAATAGGACCAAAGCAAGACGGAAACCCAGCAGGGCAAACGTGAAGTCCTGTAGGTTCTTATCTGGGGTGC